GGCTGTCCTGGCCGGTCAGGGTGTGGTCACTCTCCCTGTAGATGCTCACACATCAGGTTGCAAACACAGTGCTGACGGATTCTGCCAGGTACTATACTGGCAGGCTAGGGTCTCTGGTGGGTCTGCAGGATCTCTTAGTTGCCCTGCAGCATGCGGTATCTTCCTGGACCAGGGATCGAACCTGTGTTCCCTGCATTTAGATGGGCTACCCCATGTAAAAGGGCAGCTGCCAGTTTTGGTTTAAGACAGGTGTTCCCTTGCATGAATCTAAGCTACAGTTGCCAGATCTTCCCATTTTTCAAAGGAAATCGATAACTGCATGTGCCAGTTCATTCAAAAGCTCCAAATACCACAAAGACGAGACACATCCGTAGAATTCTCACTTGGGGTTCACCAGTTTTTGACCTTTGTCTTAAGAACAGGGGAGGGAACTGTCATACAAGAACACTCAAAAGGCCTCTGGGGGTGAGGTAAACCTGTCACTTTACATGTGCTTTTGCATAAAAGGTAAGGAATTGGAAGATTTATGCAGTTCCAAAAGTAATGGATTCCTCCCTACATTTTTTTTTATTTATCAGTGAATTTAATTTTTTCAATTATTAATTTTTTGAGATTTTTTTGGTTGTACGAGGTCTGTGTCGCTGACCACAGGGTTTCTCTAACAGCGGTGAGCAGGGACGACTCCTCATTATGGTGAAGAGGCTTAGTTGCCCTGTGGCACATGGGATCTTCCTGCACCAGGAATTGAATCTGTGTTCCCTGCATTGGCAGGCAGATGCCTGTCCACTGGGCCACCAGGGGCGTCCTTATCCCTTCAATTAAAAATGACAACAGAATATGCCTACAAGTAAATCTAGCTGTGCTTTTTCTGAAGTTCATGATTCTCTTTAAAATCTCTTAGGTGTTTGTACTCACTTGGCTCATTTTATTGGGCAAATCAACATGGACCTTAATCTTCATCCCTGCAGGAGTTTATAGGAATGAAATAGTTTTCTTTAATCATGTAGGAACACCTGTCCCTTCTCACCATTCTCCCTGGCTGCCAGGACGACTCTCTCTGCATTGCATCAGCCAGAGTTGTGTCTCCTGGCTGCCACGAGCTGCAGAAGATCATGGGCGAGGGGGCTGGGGCAAGACAGTCTGGGAGCGGACATGACCCCACGGGGCTGGGCACACCATCGCCCCAAACCACAGAAGAGTTCTTAGTTGGGAAGAAGAGAGGATTGGTGATCAGTCAACAGTGTCTTCCATTAAAGGTGCCATTCATTCATTCACTCTGTAAACATTTTTTGAGCACTTACTAGGTGTCAGGCTTTGGGGACACAGGAGTAGACAAGAGAGGCACAGATCTCTGACCTCTCCCACTGAGTTTATACTCCTGCAGTGAGGAGGATTTTTTTAAAAAATAATTTTACATATTCATTTATTTTGGCTGTGCTGGGTCTTCGTTGCTGTGTGAGCTTTCTCTAGTTGTGCCGAGTGGGGGCCACTCTCGAGTGGGAGGGCACGGGCTTCTCACTGAGGTGACCTCTCTCGTTGCAGAGCACGGGCTCTCGGGCACAGCCACTGCTCCGAGGCACGCGGGGCCTCCCTGGTGAGCGATGTGCCCCGCATGGCCTGCGTTGGCAGGTGGAGTCTTTACCACTGAGCTGCCAGGGAAGCCCGGGGAGGGGGGTCATTTTAAAAAGTAAGCTTCACAGTGTTTTAGAAGTTGACTAATCCTCGGGAAAAAATTGATAAAACAGAGGAGGAGCATAGAGGGTAGTGAGGCTAGAGGTGGGGTGCAGTTAGATGTTGGATGATCTGGGAAAGACTCCTAAGGAGGGACATTTCATCAAAGACCTGGAGGATGGAAGGGAGCAAGTCGTGGATCTCCACGAGGAAAGAGCATTCCAGGAAAAGGGAAGGGCTAGAGCAACGGCCCTGTGATGGGAGTGGCCCCCTGCTTGGCCGTCACACAGAGGCCAGAGCAGAGGAGAGCCTGGAGGGGCGCGGGAGGTCGCTGGGCGGAAGCAGCTTATCGGGAGACGGGGAATGAAGGCGTGGTTCCGAGCAGGGTGTCACAAGTCTGACCTCTGCTTGAAGGGGCTCACTTGGCTGCTTCGCTGAGGATGAACTGTGCAGACCAATAGGGGAGGTCGAAAAACCATTATTCAAGCTACTGTAGTAATCCAGGTGACAGATAATGGACTGCTTAGACCAAGGCAGTAGCTTTCTTTAACATATTAACAATATACAGTATATGCAAATGATTTTTTAGAAAAAGCAGAAAGGAGCCAAAAAAGTTGTCTTCCAAGTCTGTATATCCCTTTCTACTAACGTAGTGTATAGACACCAGAAATTAAAAGTACAGTGGGGACTTTTTTTATTTGTATTTTCTCTTATCTAATATCAGCCTCAGTTTTATCCTATTAAAGGTAATTCTTGAACTACAAGACAAAGATCTTATAAGTTTATCTTATAAGACAAAGCTATACGTTTCCTTTCCCACTGGTTTGCCGAGCTTCTTATCAATGAACACATTTCACAGAAGCAAGAAGAAATGTGAGCTACTCTGTGTGATGGCTCGCTTCAGGATAAAGTTACCCAATTAAAAATAAATGGTGAATGATCATGTTTTCCTTTTTGGTTTTAATAACCAGGGCTTAATCCAAGAAACCTGCTTGCTGAGATGTTTTTGTTCAGTGGTCATTTGTTGTTACCCCTATTGAAAGACATAGCTATGGATGGCTGGGTAGACTTGGGGCGGTGGGGGTAGGGAAGGATGAAATGAATGCAGGAGCAGATGGTGAGTGTGCATGGAGGCGAGGGGAAGCAGGCAAATGGGGAGTGAAAGGTGCACAGATGGCAGCGTCACTGACCCGGGGCCGAGCACAAAAGAAGAAAGAGGCGCGAGTGCTTTTCCAGCCGCGTCTGCTGACCCTCCAGGCTCACAGCTGTCCTCCCTTCCCCACAGGATTCTTGGTTGACCCAGGGTGCAGGGCACAGTGCTGGTGCCACCTCTGGGCAGGACCCGGGAAGGTCAGAGCTTCCTTGTTTAGGAGCCAGATGTTTGCTGTGTAAAGAAACTTCTGTTGGAGGTAAGCACAGTTCTTTGCAATTCTGTAGACCATAGAATTACAAAATTCTATAAAGCAAGACTGATAATGTACATATATGTGTACTTGCAATCACCCTTCTTCCCCACTCCTCCCCCCTCACACCCACCCACCCACCCCCACACACACACCTTTCTCTCATAGTTCCATCATTCTCTCTTGTATTTTCCTTTCTCTCATCTTCCACCTTTCTAGAGTGACCATCTTACTTTCAATAACCCATCATGATAGTATATCCTATGTAACTTATTAATCTATAACCTGAAATGGTTATATATAATCATAAAAAGCAATGCTATCATCAATACTGCAGCCATTATTAGCTAGAACAAACCTGAGACACTGCTTGGCCTACTCTCGTTTGGCAAATGGATAAACTGGTCATGTTTTATGGCCAGAAGCCATGAAAGAATTGATCAAGGTCACAGAGTAGTGGTTCGGGGACAGAAGGCAGAATGACACTGAAAGGATCCATCAACCTCTCTCCCAAGGAGATTCTCAGCTTTTCAGCGAGCAAACTTTTGGAACAAACGTATTTTAAACTATTTGATTCATTATTTTCTTCAGAGCAATGCTGTTTCTTCCTCTCACCCTTCTCCCCAGCATGTTTAGGTATTCTATTGCATTCACTGAAAAGAGTGAAAAGACACTAATAAAGCTTTTGTCACTCATCCAAACAGCCCTCTGTGCACCAATGCTGACAAGAGTTTTGGAGGAACAAGGAAAAGTAGCTTTATTTCTTTGCCAGGCAGAGATGGAACACCACAGGCTAGCTCCTCTGAAACTGTGCCCCCCTCCCTGAGGAATAGGGAGAAGTCTTATAGGCAGGGCTCATGGTCTGGGGTAAGGGAGCAGGATCAAAGCAAAGGTGTTGCAGTTCTTCTTCTGCAGAATTTCAAAATGGCCACAAGTGGCATCAGGCAGCTAGGTAACTGGGTCTGGTGGGCTCCTTGGTTTATTGCCTATGAACTTTCTGAAATGAAGAATGCTACAGGGGAGTGTGGGCGGATATAGCTAATTTACTTCCTTGTACAGCAGAAAGTAACACAACATTGTAAAGCAGCTACACTCCAATTAAAACAAAAAGAAGAAGGCCAGGTGACTCGGTGGAGTATATGATTCACACAGAGTCAGAGAGGGATTGTGGAATTCTTTCGTGAAGGACAAGTCTAGGTACCTGTACTGTGAATAGTAAAAGTTATAGTAAAGCTAGCATTGCTTAACTCTTACAGGCCTGTTTTGCCATTCGCTCTTCCCTTTGCTTGTTACTAGGAAAACCCCATTTTTCATTTCTCTTGTAACACAATGACTCGTTTTAGTTGAAGCAATAACGAGTAAGCTATTGTATATTGACAATCTTACTTGCCAATCACAGGCCTTTCTCTGTTCTCTTATCATTTCTAGTATTTGTTTCAGACCAATGCTTATTAATTTTGGAAAATATATATATATATGAAAACTACTTTTGATTGTTGTAAAGACACTCAGGTATGACCCAGCTGTCTTCGGAATAACTGATGCACTTCCCCAGTCTTCATGTATACAGTTTTTAAGGATTGGAGCTAAGCCTGTATAAATGGGTTTCTATTTGCTCCCCATCTTCCCTGTCAAGAGCAAGGTGGAGACTAAAGAACCTGAACCTGTTTCCCTCTGTGTGTAAAATGTCCTTCCGGGGAGGGGAACAGGCGAGGGCTCTGTACGAAGCGCAGCGGACACGGGCTGAGTCCCGGGGGCCGGCCCTGCTGCCGGCCGTGCCTTTCCCAGCAGGCCAGTGCGCTGTCCTCCCCGCGGGCGCCGCCAGGGGGAGCTATGGCCCGGGGCGCAGCCACAGCGGCGCTGCACCGGCCCTCCCCCGGCGGCCGGGCACCGCCCTGTCCCAGGCTCCTTTGCGGGTAAACAGACATGGCCGGCGAGGGAGATCCGGGGGACGCTGCGCACAACATGGGCAATCACCTGCCGCTCCTTCCCGGTAACCGTCTGGGGCCTGTCCCTGGCAGCAGGAGGAGGCGAGGCCAGATGCGCCAGTGGCGCGGCGGGGCCGGGGAGGCGGGCGGGTGGTGCAGAACCTGCACGGGGCAGTGGGATCGGGACAGTGGTGTTTCTTGCTGCAGCTCGGCCTCCCTAGTCTGGGGACGAGGGTTTGGGAGGGAGGAGGCTGCCCCCAAAGGCAGGGACTCCGTGCTCTCCATCCTCCGTGTGCCCAGAACTTGGCTCCGAGGAAATGGCGTGAAACTAGGTGGGGAGAGAGGGAGACTGGGGCCGCCCAGCATCCCAGACTTTTATGGAACTTCATCCCCCCCAGAAGAGTGACAGCTTATTTATTAAGTGCTACCGTGTCACCGGCCCTGCTCTGGGCGTTTGCATGCATTTTTCCATTTTCTCCTCCCCACGTCACTATTCTAGTCCTGACTTGGTGGGTGAGAAATGAACTGGCAGGTTCCTGTGACTTGCCCAAGGTCACACAGTTGCGGAGCCAGGAGTCCTACTCAGATCTGTCTGCCTCCATGGCTGCTGTCTCTTAACCGCTCAGTGCCACCTCGGTGTTTGGTCTGTCCCTAGGCATGTAGTTCAAGTACTTGGTAGAATATGCCTAATTTTAGATACTTAGAATTGGGATATTAAACTCGGGATTCTCTTTCCTTTGTGTTTTGTGAAAATTTAGACCTTGGCCTTATGTTGGAATAGTGGGCAGAAAAAAAGTCTGGAATAATTTTGCAGTTTTGTCATGGAAAGAGTTGCTTTGCAAGAGGCGTATCAGCCAAACTGAGACTATTAGTGGAGTCACTTACTGTGTGCCAGGAAGTGTGTTATGTATCCTGAAGGTAAAAAAAGGTATAATGCACAGTCTGATACTTGAGGATGTTTATCATGTATATATGGTTTCTGAAAATATAACTAGCAGGAGGCCATTGATGTAGGCCAGATAAATCGTCAGAGGGAGGGATTGATTATGGCTGAGAAGGACTGGGGGAAAGCCCTGTGAAGTGTACTACAGACATCCAAAAGCATTATAACATAGGATAGACTTGCAGAAGATAAGGTCTGGAAGGTAGGTTGGTCGCAATGTTGGAAAGCATGCATCTCTTGCCAGTGGGATCGTGAGTTTGTTCCATGGATTGGAGAGAATCACTTGTGGATTTCAGACCTAAGGGAAGCTGTGCTTGGAGGATGACTTTGCCCACTGGGAGTGGTGTGGGCCAGAGGAGGAAGACTGAAGGCATGCTCCCGCTGTATGGAAAGGAGCTTTTCCATGAAAATAGACTAGAATCAGAGTCAGTGGTCCATCTGGAAGCAACCTAGCTGAATTGAATTTGATCAAAGAGCTGAGCTGTTTTTTTAGAGACATCAGCCCAGCTCTGTCCGCGCCAGATCCAGTGTGCCAGGGAAGATGCTGACGTTCTGTTGGCATCCACACCGTGCTCCTGCGTGAGATGAGTCATCACACTTCACCCTGGTAGCTCTGGTGTGTTTTGCTGAAAAAAATTGAGAGCACAAGGGGCTCAGAGAGGTTGTCAATATAATAGTTATAGTCCTGCAAATCATGTATGACTTATTTTTAGAAACATTCAGTTGTCCATACATACATGTAGTGTGAGTTGTTTGGAAGAGTAATTCCCTCTAAGTGCTTAAGTAGTTGCTTAATATTTAAGATTTGAAGAATCTGTCCCAGCCAAAAAAATAATAATAATAGGTAAACAGCCAAGTAGGAGGAAGCGGGTTTCAGCCATATATAGGAAAAAGGCTAGTTTATAAAAGGAAATCATTTTGAGATGAAGTTGGGAAAGTTAAAATATAAATTTAGGGTTCTAGCCTTTGAGCTGAAAGTTGACCTTTAAAACTTTGAATAGAGTGCATAATAGAGCAGTGAAGTGTCAAAAGTGCATAAAGAAAGCCATGCTGTCAGAATTGTGAATGCAAGGAAGTAGATGCAGTATATTTTTGTCATCAGTTTAGATTTTTCTTCGTTATCTCTGATCTCTTGTTGAATCTTTTTTCTTCTTAGGAAAATTTTTTATGCAGTGTTAAATCACTGAACATTTGAATTTAAGTTGAAATATTTAGGTTGTTCTTTTTGACAAAGCCTTATATCTAAGGACTTTGTAGGCATTAATAGAAAGTCTGAAGCAGTTGCCATATTGAAAAACATTTACATTTTCTTGTCAGGAACCTAGCTGGAGGTGGTTAGATTTAAATAATGATATGCACAGCAGAAAGTAACTATTTTGTAAAGCCATTTTACCTATTTAGAAGTTTATTTAGGAACCTACTTGCTTTTTAGCCCCTTCTTCTTTCCTTCCTTCCTGCTTTTCTAGAAACTGTTTAAACGTTTGAAAAAACTTTATAGAGATTGTCTTGTTCATGTCTGTCATTTTTCAAATGAAGAAACTAAAGTTTCATCACATGGGATGAATTGTCTATTGTGTCAGAATTGGTTCCTAGTGAGGGAGAAGAGATACAGTGTGCAGAAGAATTTCAAATAATTTATGCAGGTTCAAGGAAGTGGAACCAGTCCCTACCCCTAAGATGTGGGTTGTGCCTCATGGTTTGCTGCCAAAGAGTACAGTGTGAAAAAGAGGGGGAAAGGAGCCTTCCAGTGGAAAAGTCTGACTGACTTCTCACTAACCCCAGTCAGCTCATCCAGGTCGGCTTCAGCAGTTCTAAGTCACATCAGTAGTGTGCACCCTTGATAAGACATGATGAACATGGCTCTTCACCTCCCTGGGCTTCCTCCCCAAGAAAATTCTGACTTGAGGGACATTCTGCAAAGCGCCTGACCAATAGTCCTCAAAACTGTGAAGGCCATCAAAAACAAGGAAAGCCTGAGAGGCCATCCCAGCCCAGAGGAAGCTAAGGAGACCCGACGACTGAATGTTGTGTGGTGTCGTGGACAGGGTCCTGGGACAGAAGTAGCATATTGGATAACAACTCAGGAAATCCAAATGAAATGTGTTTAGTTAGAGGCACTATGCCATCACTGATCGCTTGGTTATGGCAAGCATGCCACACTAATTAAGATGTTAACTATTGAGAAACAGGTGTGAGGTAGAAGGAACTCTCTACCACCTTTGCAGCTTTTCTGTGAGTCTTAAACTATTCTAAACTTAAACATTGACTTAAGAAAAGTAGTTAGAGGCAGACCCAGCCTAGACCCCAGCTCTCTGGAATCCCGAAGAAGGAATTATGTATTTGAACGGGAACATAGCTTTTACATCTCCATGCCTCTGTTTTTTGTTTTTCGCTTATAATACTGTACTTTTACAGCAGAGGAAGAGGAAGAAGATGAAATTGAAATGGAAGTTGAAGACCAGGATATCAAAGAACCCAAGAAACCAAACATCATAAATTTTGACACTAGTTTGCCGACATCACATACAGTATGTAACTTTGTATTAGATCTAGTATGAGAGATGCGTACATTTAACTGTAGATAAAAGTTCTTTAAAATGAATGACTACTTTTAGCATTACCTGATATTACCTCACGCTTGAAATCGTGGATGAGGATGTGGGTTTCTTGCCAACTGATCAATAGTGTTAAGCTGTAATTTTTAAGCAGTTTGGTACTTTGTCTATTACAGGTAATTCTTTGCACACTTGGAACCCTCCTTATAGCTTGGCTAGTAATAGAACTATTAAAGTGCTGGTTATTCTCTGTACTGCAGGATTCCAGGGTGTTATTTTACATACTGGCATTTTATACTTATCATTTATGCTTTTCAGACATAGAGATGTTGGGCTTAGTCAAAAATCAAATATTTTGAGCTTAAAAAATGCTTTTTAATTTGTATGTGAGAGATTCTTCACAAGGAATTGAGAATTCTACTTGCAGGAGTCACAAACGGACTTTCCTGTGGGCTGCTGATACGGCAGATTTATTATTTGAATGTGTGTGCCTTCCACGTCTGTCTCTATGTCAATTTGCACATTAGTCGTTAAGCGTGTGTCCTGTTGCCTGTCTGTAACGACTGAACCGACCCCCCGCAGTACCTGGGCTCCGACATGGAGGAGTTCCACGGGCGGACTCTGCACGATGACGACAGCTGCCCGGTCATCCCGGTGCTGCCGCAGGTGGTCATGGTGCTGATCCCCGGGCAGACGCTGCCCCTGCAGCTCTTCAGCCCGCAGGAAGTCAGTATGGTGCGGAACTTAATTCAGAAGGATAGGACCTTCGCAGTGCTTGCGTACAGGTAAATCTTTGTGCGCCCACAGGAGAGGTTGTTTTAAAGGCAAAACTGACTACTGTTTTGCCTGCATAGAAGTTGGGACAGGCTGTGAAGTAAAACTCTTCCATAAAGAGCTTGGAAGTGGAAGTTGGAGTATTTTGCTATGATCATCACCATCTAAGTCAAGCTTTAAGTTTCACACACAGTTGACTTTCTGGTATGTGAAAGTTTTAAAACCATTAATATGTAATGAAGAACATTTCTAGAACCTTATTTTCAAGAGCTGTCTTCAAGAAAAAGAGGGCTTTTACACTGTTTGTAAAGGATGGTTTTTACAAAGGAGTGACTAGTTATTTTCTGTCTCTCAAAATTCCCAAGCTGTTGTCTTGTAGACGAGTGGTGACTTGAAGCTCAATGTCAAGTGTCCCATGACAGCTAGAAGAAGTCAGTGGTGGAGGCAGGAAAGTGATACAGGAAGTCCCCACCCCCCTACCCCCACCCCAGGGCAGAGCTGCTGCTCAGCGGCAGAAAGGATGATCTGCTGAATAAAAGAATGTTTAGTTTGGGAAATGACAGTTTAACCCCTCTCAGCTGTGGGTTATTTTCAATGACTAGAAATCTGTTCTTCTGCTAGTGGGCGCTAAGTGTACTTCCTGAAGCCCTCTATATATATCTCAGTTCCCCGTGTGATTCTAAAATAAATAGCTTTGCTGTGAGAGTGATTGCTATAAATTGTTTTCCCATGTGTATTGCTTTTGTCATCTTGGCATATTTGAAAACTAAATGTTCAAAACTGTTTCCTTTTTAAAATTTACCTTGGAAGTAATGTCCAGGAAAGGGAAGCACAATTTGGAACGACAGCAGAGATCTATGCCTACCGAGAAGAACAGGATTTTGGAATTGAGGTTGTGAAAGTGAAAGCAATCGGAAGACAGAGATTCAAAGTCCTTGAGATCAGGACACAGTCAGACGGGTAAGAAACACTGTCTATCTTAAAACTCCTCAAACATCATAAAATGAAATAGTTTTCTTATATTTTGTCTGTTTTGCTGATGTTCACACTTTATAGCCTTTCACCAGTTGTTCTTTTCCCTTTGCAAGTGCAGTCTAGGGTTTCTAACTTTGCTGTGCATCATAGTGACCGGGGCAGTAAAACTACAGACGTTCGGGTTCCTGCCCTTCCTCCCATCCCTAGAGAGTGACCAGTCGGGGAGGAGGCCACGGCATCTTTTCTGTCCAGGTGTCCATCTGTCAGATGTCCAGGTGACTGATGCCCCTCTAGGTTTCGGAACAGTGATGTAACCCCAGCAGGCGGTGTCATTTGGGACAGGGCTTCTTTGGGATTGAAGACCTCTCTGCAGATTGGAGAGGGTGGGAGTCAGGGCTCGGGGAGCTGGGTGCAACATCAGGTGCTTCGAGAGCTGCGGCGGGACGCTTGCCGCCCACTGCGTCTGAGTGTTGGAGACCATGTACCCTGCGTGCCCACCTCCACCGCAGATGTTCTCTCGCCCACAGTGGATCATGTATTTACTAAGTGGTCAGGGAGTGCTTGTCATCTCTGTGCCTTATACAGTTTAGAAATTCTCTGAGTGTTCTATTTAGCACTTCCACTTTGGTGTGACTCTCACAATAGTTTTTTTTTTCCTACAAATTTAAGGAATACCTCATTCCTTAAGCTATTCCTTAAAGAATACCTCATTTTTAAAAATGCAGTTCACTTTGCAGACCTCCAAGAAAACCACAGAGCAGTTGTCCTCATCGCTGTGTGTTTCCTTTTATAGGAATGGTTCTTAACTCTGGCACATAAGGATCACCAGTGAATCACTAGTGAAGTCTTAGAAAGATACAAATTCCTGGGTCCTCCCAGCCTTCGGGAATTGGTCTCTTATCTGTAGTCACAGTTGAAAATCTTGTCAGATCTCTGTGTTGGAAAGGTGATGTCTTGTGAAATCAAGGACATTCAGAGGGTTTTGTTTTCTGTTTTTAAGGTTTAAGAATATGAACTGCATGAGGACAATAACTTTCCTGTGTTTTCACACAGTGGGCATTCATAAACATTCGTGAACTCAGCCACCCTTTGGGGCCTGAGTGAGCGCAGGGGGAGGGGTGGGGTGCCAGAGCCCGTGGGCGTCCGGTGCTCCCCGCCTGGTGCTCTCCGGGAGCTCGCCGCACTGAACAAGGGGCTGTCCGTGTGGTGTGCGTCTGTGTCGCTCAGGATGCAGGCCGCTCAGGCCAGTCGATGCGACGCCCGTGTGTTCTGCACTTCGGACCATCAGTGTTCCGTGGATGAGTGAGCGTCCCCGAGAGCCCTGTGTTGAGACAGCAAGCTGTTTGTGCATGGATTTTACTGACAGTTCAATTGTAAAAGTACTTCCTACCTTTGTGCTTATAAAATTTTGAATATTTGTGAGTACTATATTCTAGAAACCATAATAGCAAATTGACTTGGGGAAAGGTGTATTTCTGAGACTGTCAACATCAGTGACTTGTGAGTGTGGAAAAATTAGTTTGAACACAAGATGGCAATAGAGTCTTGACTCTGAAAGCAAGTAAACGGATGTGCATTGGACTCAAGTAGAGATTAGCGTCAAACTGATCAGGCGGGACAGGACTGGAAAAGGGCCTAGTATTTCTTAGACCCACCACCACAGCTTTCACAGAAATGTCTCAAAAAAAAAAAAAAGAAATGTCTCCTGAAAAGACCTCCATGGAGTGAGAATTCTGTGGGTCCACTGCCCTTCTGGCCCTATAACTACCTTCAGAGGAAATGGTGAGAGGGCAGAGACTAGAGAGGATGTAGTGCAAGCTCTTCCTTCAGAAAAGGAGCCTGACTGCGATGGAGACAAGTGGTTTGCCCAAAGTTGTCCAGTTCGTGGGCACCGCGGGTGAGCTCTGGGCCCCCGACTTCCAAACGAGTGCTCTTCCCACCACACCAGAATCCCTCCCTTGCACATCTGCAGCTCACGCCAGTTTCCTTTTCTCTGTAATACAGGACCGGATGATAGTGGTCTGTCTTATTAGGACTCTCCATATGTACAAAGCGCACTGCTGCCTCTGACCTTTCCAAGTCGTGTCTATATTTCTTTGACATCGTCTGAACAGATGGAATTTTTTTTTGAAAAATTAATTAAAAAGTAGAAATGTATCATTGCATCTCTATAGGACTGTTTTAGAAATTCCTGAGTATTTCTTACATGTAGAGAGGAAGAGGAGATTAATACTCTATTTGTAATTCTAAAAGAAGCCCTCATACTTATCATAATTGAGGTAATTTTTAGTCAAAAAGGTGATTAAAACTAGAAGTCATAAAAATATATACATATATAAATTTATACATATATATCCTAAACATTTTATTTTAACTTAAAATATGTAAATACCCCTTAATTCATTTTACATTTGATGGTAAGACAGGATACTGTCTTTATATTGGGTCTGCAGATAAGAGTTGACAGAAGTCTTTCTTGCATTAGTTGCTTTCATTGTATCATCCATCTGCAGTGTATACCTCTAGTTTTTCTTTAGAGAGATTCCAAAGATACTCACAAGGGCTTTGCGCACAGAAACCTTCCAGATTCATGCACTTTTCTCCCTATTAGAATTGTCTGAACCTAATTTGAAAGCATTTTCTGGACTCAAGCTAGAGTTTCATTAAAGCAGTTTTAATTTTGTACTTATTTTCCTGGTTGCCATAGTATTTACATAAATTACAAAACAACAGGGCTCTACTATATTGCCCAGGGAACTATATTCAATAGTCTGTCATAAACCATAATGGAAAAGAATATAAAAAGGAATGTATATACATACACAACTGAATCACTTTGCTGTCTAGCAGAAATGAACACAACACTGTAAATTAATTATACTTGAATAAAATTTTTTATAAAGCTCCTTCCACTTCAAAAAATATTTATATAAATTATATAGCTATAATTGCACAACAGCTGCCAAGACAGGTTGAGAAGAAACAAAACTAGTTTACATTAAAACCAAAACTCAGCTGCTGGGAGCAGAGCCAGCCATGCGTGCTGCAGACCCTGGGGTGCCTCACAGAGGAACAGACCAGCGCTTTCCCCTTCGAGGTGATCTAGACAGCTTGTGTATATTATTAAAACGATCTCTAAGCTGATGTTTCTGTAGCATTAACGTTTGTATCATAAAAACTTGTGAATTAGGTGAGGAAAACATGATTAGTTATTTTTGTTTTTAATGAGCTCTAATAATATAAGGATACTTGAACACAGTCAGATTTATATTACCATTCTCCAAAGTCATGTAGACTTAAATTTGAGCTTGCAGGAAAGAAATGAAGTGAGTGGAGTGTGTATCATGACAGTAAACCTACATATTTTCAGACATGTTTAGCTATTTTCATTTAATAAATCAGAAGAAGTATTAAAGTGTCATAAGTTTTTGTGGATTGAGACAGTGGTAACAATAAAAGACCACTTTAGAATTCCTGAACAAGAATAATAGTGAAGCAGAGACTTGTAATATATTTGACTTCTTCCTACTGATAGTGTTTTTCGTTCCAGCATTTGGATGTGTTGATACTTTCTGCATTTGAAAAGTTACAATAAGAGAGAATTCTTTTAGTGCCTTGTAAGACAGTGGCTTGGAGGTACAGCCTCTTTGGCATTAATTCATGAGAAGATACTTGCAATTATGATATTCTCAAGTAGCATTGTTGAATGATGACTTTACTATATGAGTAGAAATAATTTTTAAAGATAATATGGATCTTGATTCTTTGCATATTCAGGGTAAATGTTTAGGAATGAGAAAAGGAATGCACACAGAAATAAGGCTACATATAATTCTCTGGTCTAATCCGTGTGAAAGGGTTCTTGATTTTCTCTTCCTTTACCTACCTACTTCTTAGGATAGGTGATTCGTGAGAAGGGATTGATGTAAGAGTTGGGCAACATAAAGAAGTGGGCTGAGGGGAGGGGTGGGGTGTCCAAGAAGGAGAAATTTTTATAGAAGTATCAACACATCAGGGGTTGGTGGTATATTGATTTTTTAACTTTATTTCATTTACAAGCTTTGCCTGAAATGTAAAAATAGTGTTTTCCATTCCACAGTGAGATAGAAAAATCTTTGGTTACCTTTGGTTTAAACTTTGGTATGATTTATGAAATACAGTATTTTTTTGAAAATTTCTTGTATCTTAATATCAGGACTTGATGAATATGTTTAAAACCTTGAAAATCTTAGTACTAGAAGCTATCCATAATGGTTAGAAACATAGTAATTAGAGTTAGTTGATCCTAAAAATGAACACTGTGCCTGGTTCTCTTTTTTTTTTTAATTAAAAAAAATTTTTTTTTCATTTGTTTTTATTAGTTGGAGGCTAGTTACTTTACAATATTGTAGTGGTTTCTGCCATACATTGACATGAATCAGCCATGGATTTGCATGTGTTCCCCATCTCAATCCCCCCTCCCGCCTCCCTCCCCACCCCATGCCTCTGGGTCTTCCCAGTGCACCAGCCCCGAGCACTTGTCTCAGGCATCCCACCTGGGCTGGTGCTCTGTCTCACCCTTGGTAACACACGTTTCGATGCTGTTCTCTCAGACCATCCCTGGTTCTCTTTATTTTAGAATCCAGCAAGCCAAAGTGCAAATTCTTCCTGAGTGTGTGTTGCCTTCGACCATGTCTGCAGTTCAATTAGAATCCCTCAATAAGTGCCAGATATTTCCTTCAAAACCTGTCTCATGGGAAGACCAGTGTTCATATAAATGGTGGCAGAAATACCAGAAGGTGAGAAACTGATTTTTTTATGCATGTTCAAAAAGCGAAGACAGGTTGCTTTTTTCCTGTTTACAGAAAGAAACACCAACAACTCTCATGATTCCTTCCGCAGACATCTTCTGAGCAATACTATAGTTTCATTTGTTCATAGCTGGAGTTTCTAACAAATTCTTGGGCAGCTGTTGATGTAAGAGCAGTTTGCAAAACCAAGTAAAATGTTAATCCAGGTATTATTTCACTGTAGTTCTAAACGCTGCAGGAAACGCTTGTTAGACTGTGATCACAGGAGATGCTTGGCTCTTGAGTCGTAAATACCTGGACGCAGAGGAAGAGTCCGGGACGGGACACGGTGGTGGTGGTTCTGCTGCTTGTGGACTTCCGAAAGGAAGCTGTTTTTGTGCAGCAGTCTGGACATCACCAAAACTGGCATGACTTTTAAAGGCACTCTTTAAAAGAACTGCCTCTGGGGCATTAATTCCTGTGTATATCCTTTTGGCTAGATCGTTATCGAAGGAAAAATATCAATGAAGCTTGTTTGTACTTATCTGTGAGATGTATCAATTTTGAGTATAAAATACCTAATATTTATGATTTCTCCCTAAAGGAGAAAGATTTCTAGTGTCTAAATTTAAAATTACTTTTTTGAGATATGTCTTTTAAAAATATGGAAAGACAATTTCCATAGTAACCTGAAGAATCCTGTACTTATCATCCATTACTGTTTGTTGAGTATTGAAGGTTTTAATTTTGATGTAAATTATCCTAGGGTCCTCATTTGAGGTAATAGCTCAGCGGCAAAGAACCTGCCTGCCAGTGCAGGAGTTCAGATCAGTTTAGTCGCTCGGTTGTGTCAGACTCTTTGCAGCCACATGATTGCAGCACACCAGGCCTCCCTGTCCATCACCAGTTTGAGGAGCTTGCTCAAACTCATGTCCATCGAGTCAGTGATGCCACCCAACCATCTCATCCTCTGTCGTCCCCTTCCCCTCCTTCCTTCAATCTTTCCCAGCATCAGGGTCTTTTCTGAGGAGTCAGTTCTTTGTATCAGGTGGCCAAAGTATTGGAGTTTCAGCTTCAGCATCAATCCTTCCAATGAATATTCAGGATTGATTTCTTTTAGGATTGACTGGTTGGATCTCCTTGGAATCCAAAGGACTCTCAAGAGTCTTCTCCAACACCACAGTTCAAAAGCGTCAATTCTTCGGCACTCAGCTTTCTTTATAGTCCACCTCTCACATCCGTACATGACCATTGGAAGAACTATAGCTTGATTAGACGGATCTTTGTTGGCAAAGTAATGTCTCTTTTTTAATATGCTATCTAGGTTGGTCATAGCTTTTCTTACAAGGAGTAAGCATCTTTTAATTTCATGACTGCAGTCACCATCTGCAGTGATTTTGGAGCTCAGAAAAATAAAGTCTTGTCACTGTTTCCATTGTTTGCCCATCTGTTTGCCATGAAGTAATGGGACCAGATGCCATGATCTTTGTTTTTTGAATGTTGAGTTTCAAGCCAACTTTTTCACTCTCCATTTTCACTTTGATCAAGATCTTCAGTTCCTCTTTGCTTTCTGCTATAAGGGTGGTGTCATCTGCATGTCTGAGGTTATTGATATTCCTCCTGGCAGTCTTGATTCCAGCTTGTGCTTCATACAGCCCGGCATTTCTCATGATGTACTCTGCATGTAAGTTAGATAAGCAGAGTGCCAATACACAGCCTTGACATAACCTTTCCCAATTTGAAACCAGTTTGTTGTTCCATTTCTAACTGTTGCTTCTTGTCCTGCCTACGGATTTCTCAGGAGGCAAGCAAGGTATCGCTTCTCTTGAAGAATTTTCCACAGTTTGTTGTGATCCACACAGTCAGACTGTGGAGTGGTCAGTAAAGCAGAAGTAGATGCAGGGGATGAGGGTTCAAACCCTGGGCTGGAGAGATCCCCTAGAGAGGCGAAATGGCAACCCCCGGCACTAGTCTTGCCTGGAGAATCCCACGAGAGGAGCCGGGCAGGTACAGTCCGTGGGGTCACGAAGAGTCTGACATGGCTTAGCGACCAAACAGCAAACAGCTTAAATTCACAGTAACTTTTGTATAGCTGTGCAATACTTCTGTTTTCAGACTTGATACAGATACTTTATTTTTTTAATCTAATTTTTTATTTAGCTGTACTGGGTCTTAATCATGGCATGCAGGATCTTTCATTTCCATGCGCAGGATCTTTAGTTGCAGCGTGAGGGTTCTAATTTCCCGACAATGGATCAAACCTGGGCCCCCTGCGTTGGGAACACAGTTGTACTCTGGATCACCAGGGGTGTCCCCAATACAGATGCTTTACATATACTTTAAATCATGTTTATTTGACCAGTAGCACAGTGAGAGATTTGATGTTAGTCACTTTCAGCCTAACTGTTGAGTTTGTGGAGGACGGCACTGTTGTCCACGGCTCCGTGGAGGGTTCTGGAACGCATGGAGTCTTTAGTACCCAGCAGTGGGTCGGCGCTGGGTCGTGCTGAGATGTTCTGTGGCGAGGTCAGTATGTCAGAGCACTGCCTGCATAGCCTCTCGGGGTTTAGATAGCTGTGGATTTCAAACATTGGATATTTTTTCCAGGAGGTATTAAGTATTTTATTTATATAATAGTTCTTCCACACCAAGATTTTTTTGTTAAAAATTCCTAACCATTTAAAAATCCTACCTTACCTCTTGGCACAGTTCTGAGCATAGAGTGAGAATCTGTGGAGCTCATCCCTGACTTCAGTGCTCTGGACGACTAGTTCCGTGTTCTCCCTGCAGGATCTTGCCATCTTAAACCTGCACTTGGGTTAGACAAACAGAACTTGTAAAAATCTTTTGTGTGAATCACTGATTAACTCCTTCCTGTTCCGTGGTCAAAGCACCTCAGCTTGTTCACGTTGAATTCAGACAGAGGCCTCTGTAGCTGGGTCGTCAGGTGTTAGGAACCAGATCCTCTGACCATCCCCTGATGTCTTGTTTCTCCAGTAATTCTGGATTCTCAAACATTCCCTCACTTTTCTTCATGTTCAGAATTGCCAAGGATTAACCAGAAGGTACTTAGGAATGAGCGAGATAGAAAAGGTGTTCAGAGCTACAAATGCCTTCATCTGTGTTTTTTTTCTGATTGTTCCGTTGCTTATACTTTGGGTAGAGTGTCTTAGGTTCTGAAATGTGGATCTAGATCACTCGGCCAAGAAAAAACACTAGCTGCTCTATTTTGGACTCCAGGCATCCTGCAGACTCTGTCTCACTTTAGAGAGCCCAATGGGAGCCATTCTGCTGGCATGCCAGCCTGGCGGGGGTGCAGGGAAGGGCTGGCGGATGGCACGGGGTTGGGGGGGATTCCAGGGGCCCTGGACCCGTCTCAGGGGTCGCCCTGCTGCACCTGTAGCAGACACTGACCTGTCACAGCGCTTGTCTTCAGGCCGACCTGGGGCTCGGGTCAGCCCTCTGCGGAGTTTATTCACACCTGATGGTTGTACCTGCCACGGCCCCAGCAGGGCCTCGTGCATCTTCGTGTCTGAGAAGCGGTTCATGTGGCCAGAACTGGGAGAAGCTTAGTTGATTCTTAAATAACTCACTCTAATTGGGTTGCCACCCACTTTTCCACCGGAAAATGATACTAAAGGATCTAGGAGTGGAGTGGTCTTCCTGAAGTGTATTCAGTTGACCTTGAAACTGTGTATATAACCTCTTAACATTTGCCATTGAAAACGAAACAGTTGAAATGACAAAAGTATTTCCACTTTGGTTATCTTCCATTTTGACGGGAACACTGGAGAAAGTGTCCCTGAGGGTTGAGAAGTTAGGCCAGTTAATCAGGATGCTCTTCCAAACCCACTTCTCTCTGGGAGCCTTTCATCTGGTGATTCGACCTTTAAAACTATTTCTTTACTTCCTCTTCTCACAGTGTCTTTTTCTCTTCACTATTTACTGTAGCAAAATTCTCTCAAAATGAGGAAAATGTTTTTTAAACCTACATAGAATACAGTGTATATGTTTCTGAGGATACTCCCTTCTTGCCCAGGCTATTTGCTCATTGATAAAGCCCTTCCATGTTAATGATAAAAAGTATGAAGTACAAAAAATCAAATGTGGAAACAGGAAAGTGAGTGAAGCTCATCTTTCTGGTCTCTGCTAAATTTATAAGCTCCTGCTTCTCATACAGGTAGGGAAGAACTGAGCGTAACTCAAGGGCGGGACCCACAAACAGGAGCTCACAGGTTAGCTTCTCAGTCTTCTTCCAGAGTTTCTTTATGAAAACACAGATAAACATTCTTCTTTCCTTTTTCTTATGTAGGAGGATGCATGCTGTCCTGCTCCTTATTTTAAGAGTGTAGGAGATTCTTCTGTTTTTAGTTTTCAGAGCAGTTCTTCCTTGTTTTGAAAGCTGCATGGTATTCTCTGTATTAATGATGGACCTAGACTCAGTTATATACACAGATGACCTTTCATATAGGTCAGTATTTGAGAAGTGAGATGATTGGATGTCAGGGCGACTGCATTTGTAATGTTGACATGTATTTTCCAAGTTTCTTACTTAAGGAGGTTGTGCCTATCTGTACTCTCTCAGTGTTTCCGTGAGGCTGTACAGTATCCAGCTTAAGTTTTGCTGATCTGGTAAGTGAAACATAGGAGCTTGTTGAAGGTTTAACTTGAATTTCTCTGAATGTGAATGATGTGTGACGTTTTGTGTTTAAGAGCATGTCATATTTCCTTTAACTGGAATTGTCTTCACCCGTTTGTTGCCAGTTCTTTACACACTTTCCTGTGTGTAAAGGCTTATCCCTTCATCTGCAGTTAGTGTCAAACACTTTTTTAGTTTCTCATTTTTGTCTTTTAACTGTATTGTGGTGGTCATATAGTTGAATTTTTTAATACTTCTGTATTCTGAATCAAAGCTAGAGATACCTCCCTGTGTGAAGGAATCGTCCTTCATCAGTGAAATGTGTCACATTTTACTTTTGACTTCATTTTTTCTTAATGACATCAGAATGTAAGCTTTGATCACCCACGTGTAGTTTCTCTCGGGGTGATTCCAGCACCTGTCCCGGGCAGCGACCCACTGTCCTTTCACCATTTTCTGAAAGGCTCCCGTGCTGCCTTATAGACTGGATCCATGTTTTACTTTTTCTTCTGCTCTGTGATCAGTCTGTCTGTTTATACCCCACCAGGATACTGTTATGTAACTGTTGACAGTTTGTAAATTTGTAAGTAAAAATATGACCGCTAACCCCATCACAGGATTTTCACGATTTGTGTGGCTACTGTTGCTTATTACCTTATCCATAGGAACATTACAATCTGTTTTTGTCTTGTTCCTGAGTCGTCAGAAGAGTCGCAGTGAGAGCAGTAGTATTTATGTATGAAGGGGAAGTCTTGAAATGGTAGGCAGACTTCCTCAAGCAGAGGAATGGTTTCCCAGCATACGTTGTTTGCTTGTAGTTGTGTATCTTCCATTATGAGCTTACAAGCCTCAGAATCTAGAAAAAGCTCACCATTCCAAAATTCCAGTTCTTAGAAGCAAGTAGGATTTGATAAATGAAGGAAACAAAAACTTGTTCTGTTTCAATTACTTAGATAATATTGTTATCATTTGCACTGCTGACTGTACTAGGACCTCACACAAGTGACCACCCTTGGTCACATGTAAACCACCATTTGGGCTTGCAGGTACAGGACCCCTTCCCCACCCAGTTTCACGTGTCAGTGAACGCCTTGTATACGAAAGGAACATGTCTGTAGACGTGCAGGCTTTGTTTTGCTTGTGGAGAAAGTGTGGCCATCCCTCGTGTTCTGTACTTCTTCGGTCGGGTGTAGAAGCTTCTCCAGTGGAAGCGTGTTGTGTGGACGGTTGCTGGTAGATGGGCAGGTGTTCCCGCCTGTTGCCGTTGACAGCGCTGCTGCAGCGCATCCTTACAGTGTGGCCATGTCCTGTGTAACACTTCTCTTTCCAGATTTTCTTGGTGGTTTTTACACATCTGTTCTTTCAGATGAGCTTTAAACTGCTCTGAATTCCAATTCATTGGTATCACATTGAATATATACTCTGAGGACTGAGAACTTAATTATTGAGTGTTCCCATCAGTTACTGAAATTTTACAGGAACTAAGTAAAAACATCTTTGTCAAATATAATCATCTCCTGCAGGATTCTCTGCAAACTTTTTCATCTTTTTTGAAATTAGAACGTCCTCGTGGGCCAAGATCAGTTTTTAAATCTGGTTCCTTCTACCCTTAAGATCTTGATTCTGTGGTGTTTAAGTGACTTTTGTTTTCTTTTCAGAGAAAGTTTCATTGCGCAAATTTGACTTCGTGGCCTCGCTGGCTGTATTCCTTATATGATGCTGTAAGTAACCTGCGTTGAACGGTTTGCTTCTAGGACAAGCCATGTCACAAGGGTCATTAGACGAAACAAGTGGCATTTTATTTTTGGAACTAGTGCCATTGATTTAAGGGGAAAGGGCAGAATCATACTGCTGGACAGACCTGACTTCTAACATATAGATCTTTAGTTTTCTGTCAGTGGATAATGGCTTATAACTTCAGGACAAGATACTGTGGCATCTTTGGGTGTATTAAGCATTTAAAATTTTGTTGTCAAGGTACAGTTACATTTAGAAAAATACAGAATCCTTAACAGTGTTTTAGTTCTCTTGTTAACAAGTATGTCTACGTCTTATTTCCTGCTTTTAGTGTACTAATTGATGTATACACCAGTGCTTTTGCAGCTCAAATTTTTTATACTAGGCATCATGACAGGTTGAAAAATTGAGTAAGAGACTGTTAGGATGGATAATTCACAGAATGTAGGTCATAGACACAGGCTGTGTTCAAAGCCTCATTTCCATTAATTTCTCTGTGGTTTGGGGCAGAAGCTGAGTATGAAATGGGGGTAAAGGTGCCCTGACAGTCTTGGGATACATTAGAGGTTCTTAGTCTTCCATCAGCTGGAGCTCTGGGCTTACTGAACTGGTAGGTTGTGAGTACTTAGCACATGGGCAACACTGAAGGAAACGATAGTTCACTCTGCTCTTTCGCAGCTTAAGAGGCATTACAAGGACGTAATAGACAAGAGTATTTAACATCCACTTGTGAAAAGATAGTGAGCACTCTGATCTCGTAAAGAGGTCCCAGGTAAGCTGTGTAGGTAGCATGTGCTAGTGCAGCTCACAGGGACCAACAGAAAGGTTTCCTAGAGGGAGGAGGAGAGGCCCTTGAGAAGCCAGACCCGGGGAAGAGAGGCTGGGAAGCCCGCCTCGTGCTGGGCTGCGCAGGGGCTGCAGTCGTTTCTGTGTAAGCAGCAGAGACATACACACTGGAACTGGACTGGACAGTAACTACTTACATTTGTTACTAATATGTTAGATCTATTGAGTTGAAAAGCTGACAGTGTAAAAAGTGTGTGAACCTTACTATGGCTCGTTTCAAACAAGGAAACCTTAATGGATAGAATCAAGAAACAGCTACGTGAATGGGATGAAAATCTAAAAGAAGATTCTCTTCCTTCAAATCCAATAGGTATGAAAAATTAGCTTTCTTCCTGTGATGTTTTACTAAAATTGTTTTTAAGTTTTCTGTTTAATGAAACAAAAAAAAAATTTTTTTTAATTATCCTGAAAAGCATACACATTTGTTTTCATCAATTATAGAAAAAAAATGAGTATTTTTTAATTAGTTGTAACAAGGGTCTTAAATTCTGAGTATTGGAAATGCTATTTGGGTATACTCCTTTCCTTGGTCTTCAGGGTGCCTTTAAAGGTCACCTTAGTTCAAAGGCTTACTATTGTTTTACATAGCTGTTAATTAGGTACAAGTTAACTATTTTTCTAGTCTCTTAGTAAATAAGTGACTTCCAATAACATGGGTTTGATTTCATGTTTAAGACATTTACAAAAACAAGTATGGGAAAAGAAGTTACATCCTTAAGATATATATACTTGAGAGCTGATACATTTTAGTATTGTTTAGAACTGTATGAAGTGTGTTCTCTGGGAAGGATTTATTTGAAAAGGATGTTATTGCATTCATAAGTTATCTGATACGTATCTGCTTCGTAAGTTTAAAAGTTTGAAAAACCTATCCTGTCTTTAAGATTTTTCTTACAGAGTAGCTGCTTGTCTTCCTATTGATGATGTATTACGAATTCAGCTCCTTAAAATTGGTAGTGCAATCCAACGACTTCGCTGTGAGCTAGACATTATGAATAAAGTGAGTAATGTCTGGATGCGCACTGTCGGTAGGGTGTCCAGTCATGTAGTCATGGAAATAGAGAACTGAGTGTGGTCTGCATTACAAATATTTTAAGGGATTATTTAAACATTTGAGATCATAAGACAGAAAAATTGTTTTGCATTCCTCTACGTATCCTAGAGGGTCATTAGTCTAGTGAATATGTCAGCTTGTGTTTTCCTTGTTCCATCTTTAAAACTATAGTTAGAGGAATCAACACTTTGGAGCATTTCCCCCACTAATTTTCTCTTAAATATTTTAGTGTACGTCACTTTGCTGTAAACAATGTCAAGAAACAGAAATAACAACCAAAAATGAAATATTCAGGTGAGCTTTTTATTGCATTTTTAGTACACATCTTGAGTATATTTTCCCAACTGCCATAACAGGACAACAGGCAAGACTCTATTTCTGTTCTCCCTGTATTTCCCTCCATTAAATTACAAATACCCAGCAAATGAAACTTGGAAAGTTACCTCAGCCGCAGGTAAGACACTTCTTCTGACTGGGTACCAGAACTGCAGTGGGTGTGGACAGGACTAGTCACAGCAGTGAGGGAGAACCTCCCTACCACCCCAACCTTGTTAAAAATCCATCAACTGTATCTTTCTCAGTACTTACGGACCTAGCAGGAATGCCTCGGCTTTATGCACTGCTTCACTCAGATATCAGTTTCACCACATAGGGTCAAAGATAGGACATGCTTGTTAGATTCCCCCCCCCCCCATTTTGACTCTCTGCGCTGATTCTCTGTTCTAGTTTATCTTTATGTGGGCCGATGGCAGCTTATGTGAACCCTCACGGATACGTGCATGAGACACTCACCGTCTACAAGGCCTGCAACTTGAATCTGATCGGCCGGCCTTCCACAGACCACAGCTGGTTTCCTGGGTAATGTAGTGGCGTCCCCTTGTGGGGTTTGTGTGTGTGCCTTACTTAGTTGGGCAGGAAAACTCAGGAGTAAGGACAGTTGTTCACGAGTGGCTAGAAAGTTACTCTTGCACAGTCTCATTGCATGTACTGTCACGTGGCAGCTGCCGTTCTTAAACCAACTATACAGTTGGTCTACATCCCTTCAGAGTGAGCTGACAGGGAACTGAAATACCAACTGTTTTATGATCCAGTAAAACTAGAGTTGACCCTTGAACAGCATGGTTTTGAACTGCTCACTTCCACTTAGATGCAGGTATGTTTCAGTAGTAAAATACTGGCTGCCGCTCTGTTCGTTGAATCATTAGATGCAGAGATGAACTGCAGATACAAGGACCAACTATAAATCATAGGTGGATTAACCCCCCGTGTTGGTCAAGGGTCCACTGTATATATGTATTTTATAATGTGTAAAATTAGTGACTGTTATCCAAACAGTGATAGACGCAAAACATGCAGAATCCAGCTTTTCTTCTAGTTTGCAGGCTTCAGTTTTTTTGGCTTTAGCCTACTGACCTTCAAAGTATGACTGTGGGACCTACAGCACTACCTGAGCACTTGTGAGATCCCTTCAGCCATAATGCTGGCTCAAGCCTTTTTATTTTCAAAGAGGCAAGCTGAGCGGGGCGTAGTGACTATATTTGCTACTCTGGACCTAGAACCATGCCACTTGGACTGGCCAATCTTATGTGAGAGAAACACTTACACACTTCTGTGAGTTAGAACTGGAGAAAGAGGTATTTCTACAGGTGATTGCTGTTTCCTAAGAAAATGCTGCTGCAACTTTGTATAAAGAAATCTGTATTAATATGATATTTTTTTTCTTCTTCCTTGGCATTGGAGAAAAAATTTAAGCATGGCTTAAGAGCACAATCAAGTAACTTTATAAAGACTGATGTACTACCATGACGACTTGATACAAATTAGAAAATCTTTTTGTGAGGTCTGTTTCAGGAAACTGTATAAATCAAAGCTCTGAGTTTTCTCTTCCCCATCCTTAGAACTTGGCTAGTAAAAGATCTGTCTAACAGGTTTCTGAGGTGATAGGCTGAGATACACAGATGCATTTCCTGAGCTGATTTACTTTACCTTTCCTTAATCTCGTAGGTATGCTTGGACTATTGCCCAGTGCAGGATCTGTGCCAGCCATATTGGATGGAAATTCACAGCCACGAAAAAAGACATGTCACCTCAAAAATTCTGGGGTTTGACTCGATCCGCTCTGTTGCCCACCATCCCAGATACGGAAGATGACATAAGCCCTGACAAAGTAATACTCTGCTTATAAACAAATACAGTAGGGATAAGGTTACTTAACACATTGGTATTCTAACACCAGATCTGCTTTGGAAATTACTGCTTTTGATGCATACCTAAGTAAAAAGCAACATTACATGGAAGGTTGCAGTTTCTTAGTCAAGCAAAAGGATTTCAAGATTTAAACTAAGATATTCTATTGACGGGGATGAGAAGCAGTCTAGAACACTTGGTTTTCAGGAATACCTACTTTAGGAGCTTGGGACTGTTACCCTGTGGACTCTTGATAAGCCTGGTAGTGTTTATCACTGAGAGGACGTGAAGACATCTGTGAAACTGGTGAGCATGTTTTCTGCACAAAACAAATCTGAAATTCCTATAAATTGCTGTAATTAATGCAGTTCATCATTTATTTGATCCTAATACACGGAACAGAATGGCGTGTTTGCATCAGTGCTCCAAAGGGCAGATGTTCTAGAAGGTAGGGTGCCAAGTTCTAGTACTGTTCTTTTTTGAAAGCGGCAAGGAAATGTGTATGTTAAAAGGGCTTTGTTCCCTTTTCTTTAGTTCCTGAGATACTGATTTGTAAATTTTGAAAATAAAGAGTTATAATATGCAGTTTGAGCCCCAAAATAAAAGTTTTCTTAACATGTTTGTTAGTGAATAGTAATATCTGGTGTATTTGCTCAGTGTTTGGTTATTCTGTTGCAAAGTTGAATCTGAACTTAGACTACTGTGGAGCACAGATGCTAAAACATGTCTCCTTCCTACAGGCTAGAGGTAATGATGTATTTCATAGGCTATTTTGTTCAATGTAAAGTGAAAAAACTCTGTAAGTAAACTATAAAAGCAAAGCTAAACATGTTTGTTTAAATAATGTAAAATATCTACTCAGATGTGGATACTTTAGGTGTAAGAAATGATTTTTAAGATAAAGTTCTAGACAGACAGATTTGCCACCTACCTCTTTGCTTACACATTCAAGGGGTTTATTGGATCCTTTCACATTTTGGTGTAATTTTGATACTCCTCCACTGCTTTACATAATTCACTGAGAAAAGTTCAGCTAATTAGGTACAATGTATGTGGCCAAAAATGGACTGTTAAAGTTTCTTACATTTTAACTTACCAAAAATGCAATGGTTTTGATTGCCTAGAGTAGAAACCTAAATTGAGTATCATGTTGCATATTTATGTAAAGAGAGTAAAGGAAAAGCAACTTAAGAACGCTGTTGATTCTTTAAAATATGCCTAACCTTTCTTTACCTTAACAACAACCTTCGGTTTTTATGGCTTTACTATTACTACTTTACTGTTTGTTCATGTAGTCTTACACTGAACCAAAACTTCCTCTAAAGGGATTCCACAGAGTGTTTTTTTCGGTAGCACAGCACATCTCTACATCCAACCCTGCTTTTACATTTGCCCCTGGAAGAGTGTAAGCTCAGAATGTTCTGTACTGTTTACTGACTCTTGCAAATAAAATATTCTGGTATATAAAATATGCATATAATACAAACCTAAGGTCTTTTCACCTAACAAAACCAGACCTCTAATAGCTCAATCTGCATACGTCCTATATAGAACAGTAGAGATTGTAAAATGTTGTGTCCAATACGAACCTTATTAGTACTTAACTATCTTAAGCGTTCCTTCATCAGCATTCAGTTACTGACCTGTATGCAGATGTTCCTGAGGCTCCCTTTCTTGCAGCAAAGCCCCCATTACACTATTTGGCACACTTCCTCTTATCTGGGTTTTAACAGAAATACGCTTTTGTGTCTTATCAAGGTCCAAAAGTGTTATTTGCCCATACTGCACAAAGATGCTCTGACTGGCTACACAGAAAGAAAAGTTAGTTATAAAATGTCAGAATACAGCAGCTGAAATAAATAATACTTTGTGCTGTTTACCTCTTTACCTACTGAAAGCACATAGGCTCAACTCTTTATAAAGAGCAAATATGCTCTTTAAAAAAGGCCGTTAACCTTTTTTACTTTAAAGCGACAGGAGTACTGCCACTAAGTATATATGGCACCTGATATGTAGTGTCAGATACCACATTTATCTTGCAATACCAAAGGAAATGTTTTAATAATAATGGGTGCAAGAGTCTTACGCTAACCTTGCCCAGCTTACCAGGAAGTTAGGGAAATTTCATTTTGACAGGGAAAACTGTCAACTATATCCTAAACTACAGCTCCCTACAACATGTCCTGGGTGTAGGAACGACAGCCACTTGGGACAGACACATCTAGTCTTCACACTTGACATATATTTTATGCAAATTTTTCAGCTATATTCCAACACAAGTTTATTCTGGAATTCAGAAAAAAAACTGACACCATACACAATCGTTATACAAAATTGCAATTGCAAATACAAAGAAACATGTTTTTCAGGACACTTAGCACTTCTCAGGAACAATCTTAGCACTGTCGTATGCAACAAAAGCACCAAAAATCCACTTTAAAAAAAAGCCTAGACAGATTGAGACACCATCTCTACTTTTCTCAGTAAGAACTATTCGAAAAGAATTACAAGCTTCAGTGATAACAAATCAGATTAAGAAGAAGCAGACTTTAGTACCTGAAATATAGTTTTCACAAAATAAGACCATTATTCTTCTGAAGAGATCCCCTAAGCTGGCTTGTATTCTGCTATATATTCAAGTCTTTTAAATCTCACTAAGAGGGAGGGGGAGAAAACTAGTCTTACCAAAAATTTCCTGCTTTTTAGTAGTCAGCTCTCGTCAACTTTAGGTCTTCTTTATGTAACTCAGTAGTTCATCTTTTTCCAGTTGGTAACCACTTTTCTTCCACTGTTCTCGCAACTGCTGTAACAGCACCCCAATTTCTTTCCCGGAAGAAATGCCCACTTTCCTGATGTCATGGCCACTCACAGGAAACGGGGGGATGGACCACTGCTGCATCTGCCTCAGAAGCCCGTGCTCGCCTTGGTACTTGAGCAGCTCACACACACGAGCAGTCGCATCAGCTTCTCTAGACTGAGGGCCAAAACCAAACATCACCACACTTGCAATGGTCTTATGCTCACATTTAAATAAATGCAATGTGCAAATTTTCATTTAAAATAAAGGAAATTCACATAATACACTGTGGGTCCTAGTATTAATGAACTGGTTGCAGTTAGTGGAGATGATCTATACTCTGACAGAGCCATGAATATACTTACATCTATAATGAAGTCTTGATAGGGTTTCAGTGGTTCTGAACTATCTACTGCCTTAATTAAATCTTTCCTATTTTTAACAATAAATAAACCAAGATTCTTCTCTTCTTTTGAAATCTTCAACCTCAGATCCAATTTCGTGACATCATCCTGTACTTTGAACAATGAGGTCAAGAGAGTCATTGGCTTTGGTGAAAAACCTTCCACATTTTTACTGACTTTGTTAAATTCTTCTAAACTTGCATTAGCAGGTAAGCCTGTAGGGACAAAAGCATTTTCCACCCATTTTTAGATACATTTTAAAAACTCCCATCGTGAGCACACTTTGTTCTCAAATACAGAAATGCCCTGGTACCAGGATTCACTGCTGGTCCAGGCTGCTCTCCGTCTCACAGGTGAACCACTGCCCACTGTCGCTCTCCCCTCCCACATCTCTCCAAGGCCCATCTTCTCCATGGTCTACATGTCTTAACTCCCTGAAGCTCTCAGCTCTCCCATTAGATGCTATTATATTCATATCCCTTTTATAGATTTGCAAACAGGAAATAACCCACGTTACAAAGCTGACAAAGTGGTGACGCTGCATTCAGAGCCACAGGGGACTGACTCCAGAGGCCACTCTGTCCACCCTCACACGCTGAACTCCTACTCCTGGCTCAGAGTCTACCATATTTTAAAGTAGTCCATTTTTCCTTTTGGAATTGTTTAAATAAATTAACTTTTTTTCCTTATGAAATTTTAAACCAGATGTGTTTCATTGCCAAAAGTGCAAACATTTTACAAGCTGGACTCACCTATGTAAGGAGCCACATCGAGTTCATAGATGAGATGAATCAGATGGTTCACGTGGTTACCAGTAAGTATTTTTTTCAGTTCCACCCAGATCCTCTCTCCTGATACTCCTGCCAAGCCTTTTGCATTTTCTGCAATTGCTTCCAAAGTCTCAGGATCGTGGTCACCAGGTGTGTCAACAATTTTCCCGTAAAACCTACAAAGCAAACATGTCCAAAAGTACTGCCTTCATGCTGGCATCTCACCAGAAAGCTGTGCTCTTCATTTTCCTGGTGCTACTAGTGAGGTCTGGGAGGGACCTTAGAAATCATCTGCTCATCTCCCTTCTCCTTTTTCCTCAGCTCAGAAACCTAAGCTCCAGAAAGTATTTAAGTTAAAGTGGTCTTCAGTAAAGGTCTATTGATTGGTACTGACAGCGGACGCATAAACCAGAGCAGTCTTGGGCAGGCACTAAAACAGGCCCAAGATATCCTCATGGAGTAATCTTGCTTCCTCAAAGGTTGCCCGTCTATACACATCAATGCTTTCAATTAAGAGTTTCACATGAAACACATCTCATTGCAGACATGGGAGTGTATTTCATGGACTCTATTGGAAGCATTAAAGTATACCTGCTTTTACCACTCATTTCTTCACAACGCATTTCTATAGTGATCTAATTAAATGACTGACTGTACCTTAGTCTGTGTCCTGTTATTTGTAAAGAGAGACTGTGCAAACACTGAAGTCTAAAGGAATAGCAGTTATTGACAAAATGTAAAATCTGTCAATATTTTGAGCATGATCCCAAGCTGGAAAAAATTTAACTATTAATAGATACAAAGTAGCCAGTTCCAATAGTTAAAGTGTTATAGTTCAGTGTTGGAAGACAAAACCATCCAGGTGCATTACATACCTTCCAGATTCATCTAACACATCTCCCATTACCACCTAGAACTATAAGCCACATGAAGGTGCACTGCCACTCATTACTCCAGGTTCAAAGCACCTAGGACAGTGATAAGCACTCAAATACCTGTGTAATGAATGATTGGTGCAGGAAATGAAAAGACTTAAAATTGAATTATATAAAAGATCACCATAGAAAGGAGTGAATAAATGATTTGGAGAATGCAAAGATGAGGTGTCTCAAAGTCACAGGACCCTGTCTCTTGGAGACAGATGTGAGATGTCACCATTGTGTACACGAACCTGCTGTGCATTTCACAAGACGAGAAAGAACTGCACTTTGGTAATAATGATATTCAAAGATGTGTTATTATGATTTATAAAAATCCTTACCTGAAATACCTTAAAATCCGAAGATAATCTTCTTGTATCCTCTGTTTAGCTTGTCCAACAAATCTAACTTTCTTATTTTTTAAATCTTCATAACCATTAAAATAGTCAAATAAAGTACCATCAAAACCTAGTCATTAAAAGAGGGAAGAAAAATCACTATTAGCAAATAAGAACTGGAAAACACTGGTGCGTATATAATTATTATTCAGCCATTAAAAAAAAAAAATCTTGCCATTTGCAACAACATGATGGATCTTGAGGACATGATGCTAAGAAGCCAGACAGGAAGATAAATACTATATGGTCTCATTTTTACATATAATCTTAAAAATAACAAGCTGACAGAGAATAGATTGGGGGTTGTCAGAGGCTAAGGCCAGGGGTGGGGCGCGCACAATGAGTGAACAGGGTCAAAAGGTACAAACTCCTAGCTATAAAATAAGTCCTGAGGGGGTAGCGTATACTATGACAACTAGTTAACAGCGTGGGTGTATGTACTCAGTTGTGTCCAACTCTGCAACCCCAGAGACTAGCCCACTGTAGTTAACAATACTGTATTACACATTCGGAAGCTGATAAAATAGTTGATCTTAAAAGTTCTCATCACAAGGGGAATAAAATTCTGTCAGATGTTACGGTGTCAGATGTTAACTAGACTTACTGTGGCGATCATTTCTTGATATATACAAATATCAAACAGTACTGTACACTGAATCTAATGTAAGGCTGTATTTTATTACCTCAATTAAAAAGAGAAAAAACTGGAAAACTTAAAGAAAATCTACTAAAAACTATCACAAACAGTAAAAAATTAGGGAAAGAGCTACACAGTTGAAGTACTGATATGAGTAACATTCATCTGTATCCAGTACCAAATGTACATAGAGTGGAATAAAAGGCTGCATTTACAATAGCAATTAAAAGACAACACACTAAATAAACAAGATGTATGCCAGTATGAAATGGGTAGAAACAATAAAACAAGCTGATTTTCAAGTTAATAATGGAAAATAAAAACAGCCAAAATAACCTGGAAAGAAGAAATGATAGACAAACTATGTGGGAAAATGTAGTAAAAACTGTAATAAACCATAGGGAAAAAATTTATAATCCTAACGTAGGGAAGACCTTTCAAAATACAATTACCAAAAGAAACCAAAACAACACCAGAGCCTTCAAAGAAATTATTAGTAAATCCAACTACCTGAAACATTAGATATTCATTCCTGGATAGCAAGTAAATGCCACAATACAAAGCATAAGGTAACATACTGGGGAAAACATTTAAAGTCAGTATCACAGAGAGAAATGGCTTTATTATCTACAAAAACCTCCTAAATAAGAAAGACCATATATAGAAAAGTTGAGTTAGGGGAAATGTTAAATTGGTGCAGCCACTGTGGGGAACAGTATGGAGGTTCCTTAAAAACTAAATACAGAACTACCATGCATGACCCAGCAATCCCACTCCTGGGCATATACCCGGGAAAAACCATAACGCAAAAGGACACATGCACCCGTGTTCTGGCCCTATTCCTAACAGACATGGGAGCGACCTAAATGTCCATCAGCAGAGGAGCGGGCGCAGATGATGTGGTACAGGTACACAGTGGAACATTAGAGTGAAGTCGCTCAGCTGTGTCTGACTCTGCGACCCCATGAGCTGTAGCCCACCAGTCTCCTCCATCCATGGAATTTTCTAGGCAAGAGTACTGGAGTGGGGTGCCATTTCCTTCTCCAGGGGACCTTCCCAACCCGGGGATCGAAGCTGGGTCTCCTGCACTGCAGGCAGAAGCTTCACTATCTGAGCCGCCAGGGAAGCCCTAACAGAACATTACTCAGCCATAAAAACAAAACTGGGTCATTGAGAGAGATGCAGACGGACCTAAGAACTGTCATACAGAGTGAAGGAAGAAAAGCATCCTGTTATTAACACATGTGGAGTCTAGAAAAATGATACAGACCCAGAGGTAGAGAAGAAAACACACGGACACCAAGGCGGGGAGGAGGGGGTGGAACGCACATATAAACACTACTGGATACTATGTAAAAACAGCTAACTCATGACAGACTGTACAGCCTGGGGAATGGTACTCAGTGCTCTGTGTGATCTAAATGGGAATGAAATTCAAAAAAGGTATCGCTGATTCACTTTGCTGAACAGTAGGAACTAACAACACTTTAAGCCAACTATAATAGTTTTTTAAAGAGAGGAAAGAAATGATCTAAAACATATGTGAAATATAAAAAGCTTTAAAATGAAGATTTTCAACTTTAGTTGTAAGAAGTGCACATTTACGAGATAATCGTTTTTCAGACCTACATCAGCTCAGCAAGGACCTAAGTCCAATTACATGCTAGCTGGGGGATGGTGAGATCTGACCAGGACACTCCCCTGTGCAGCCTTCTGAACTTGGTGAGTTTTGAACCATGTGAACCTAACATCTGTTCAATATGTTATAAACATATTTCTACCACAATATCCTCTCTTGTTGAACAAAACAAAAAACAATTTTAATGTAAGGCACATAAAACCTCAGGTATGTGTGAAGTGACCAAGTTCTCCCAGCTGTCCCAGGATTTCCTTGATTTAAAAATCTCCTGTCTTGGGGATACCTCAGTCCAGGCAAACTGAGACAGGTGGTCACTCTGGGAACTAAGATGGAAAAACAGAAACACTTGGAGCAAAGACACAGGTGCCATTCAACCACCTAAATGGGGAGCGCCAGGAGCCTGAGACAGACCTCAGCAGGCAGCCTCACAGGAAGGCGGGAAAGGAAGGAAGTAACCACTTATCGTGATTATGGCAAATGCAGCCACACTCTAAGCTTGGGCTTAACTCCTGCCAAACCCTTCTTGGCATTTTGACACTTAGAGCCAATTTATAAGGCTCCAGATTCAGAAAGATACAACAGGAAATGAAAACAAACAAAAAACTTATACAACATATATGCAGTATACCTATCTCCTGTTAACTTCTCTTACTGAATAGACTCAACTCCCTGGGGACTGTGGAAACCAGATCTTCTTGAGTAAAGGGAAGATCAAAATTTGCAGGGAAAAAACACAGTGTTACAAAAGGGGAAGTAAGAGTTTGAGAAAGAAGTGACCATGACCCCTAGAACTAGGAATGCTTTGTCTGATAAGGTTTGAAAAAAGTCTGGATGGGAAAAGGGACTGAAGGTAAAGATTGCTCAGTATTATCTGTGTGCATTTTGTTTGCTCTGAATATCCTGTTAAAAAATGATGAGTAGAAATGAGAAATCAAGCTGAGGAGCTGAGCATAATGCAATGGTTAAGGACGTAACCTCTGGAACCAGGCTGCTTAACACATTATGGACAGGAAACTTTTGCAGAAGGTAACTATATATATTGAAACACTCTAGTCAATAACATTCAGGTAACAAAAGATGTATTAATATGTCTCTGGTCAATAAACTGTTAAGTTGGAATCCTAATTCAGCAGTTTACTGGCTGCAGGACTTTGAGCAAATTTTCCTTAGTTACATACCAAGATATGCCTCATAGGGTTGGTGGGAAGATTCAATTTCTGTGATGGGCTGGGAACAATGACTGGCACATTTTATAAGGGCTCAGAAAATGTCAGCAAACAGTTGCCCTGATAAGAACAGCTCTTATTTTTATAAAACAGTATCTTGAAAAAGAATATTAGTTTCTCTTTTAGTTATGTCTGGTTATGAGACATTAGTTATAAGGTTTTCACACACTGCACTAGTTGGAGCAGTTTAACGCTAAGTAAGAATGGTAAAAGAAGAATTTAACACCTGGAGTTCGACCCCATAATGGGGAGAAAGCATCCCCCAATGAGGCTCCCTTTGGTCATAAACCACCCAGACTCTGGAAACCTGGGCTCCAGTCAAAGCTCTCCGCGACTTGGGCTCAATTATTTAATGTCTCTGAGTCTCTTTCCACATCTGTTGAATGAGTTTAACACCTACTTTATGGAGTTTTCCTGGGCATTAAATGAGCACTGATGCACCTCAAGCCAGCGAGGCACCCTAGACATGTTACTGGGCATTAATGTAATTAGCGAAGTGAGCCCCCTTGCGCCTATAGCCCCTTCTCCATCCCACCAAGTGGGTACCACTGCTTCACCCTTTCACTATTACTGTGCCACAGACCAGCTTACTAAGAGTGGATGCCCATCTCTTTTCTAATCCAAAGACTTAACCCTGAAGAACTTGCCTAAAATTTAAAGGACAAAAAACAATGCTTCAATTGCACTCCAAAACGCTAACCTAATCCACACTGACTCCCATTATGATCCTTACTGCTTTCTTTCATGAGCAAAACGTCACGCTGAGATGATCAACAGGTTTCCTCGCGTGCCAGAGCAGAGCTGGCGGTCCGTAAGACGTGGTGCCATGGGGACGGAGGCACTGCTCGGCCTCGGAGCAAAGAGGAGGGGCGGCACCGACCACGTCCGCCACGGACGCCAGCAGAAGGGTGGGAGGTGTGCGCCGAAGACAGGCAAAGGGGCAGCGCGCGTGCGCACGGTTCTCACCTGAAGCCTAACATCTTTCGATGCGATTCCTAAGGAACCACTGACTGAACGAACGTGCACACACACCAGGGACTCGCCACGACCGACTCCTCTCATCCTCACGACAGCCCTGCAGAGAAGCTGGTATCAACCGCCTCGCGCTACAGCGAGAGCGACCGAGGCAGAGGAACCCAGGATCTTGGCTCCACCGTCAGCTTTAACCAACAGCCTGTCTCGTCAGAGAAACTAACACAAGCCCTCAAGTGGGAGAACACTGCCAGAAGACAGGTTTCACAAGAAAAGAAAGCATTCGGACTGAATGAATTAAAACCTGACCCCCAGGCATTACCTAAAAACATGGAATTTATGGTGAGATCTCTGCGCTCGGCATCCTTCTGCCAGTCGGTTGTGAATTCGACCTCGGCGTGTCTTCCATCAGTGGCTACATCAATCCTCAGTGTAGTGATTTCAAAATTTTCTTCATGAAGCTGGAAGTAAATATGTTTTTCAAAAATTAGTTTTCAGTATCACTGAAAAAACACAAGTCCTAACAAGTATATCTTCTTTCCTTTTTAAGTCAACTAGTACACATATACCTTGGAATACAATGACGCCCACAGTATTCAAAGGTACATCCAAAGAACATTTTTAAGAAATAATGAAACAATAAGAAACAATAAACCCATCAAATAAGAAATAATAAACCCATCTTACTTAAAAAAGATAAGTTTGCAGAGAAAAAATGGCAAGCTTGACAAATTATGTGGCAGAAAGTAAGATCCCTTAAAATATTCTGGTTCTTCAATATAAAACCAGACTATTCTTTGAAATATTTTTTTAATAGCTCCAATTTTCAAAGAACTGAATATCAATTTATAGAATATAAACCACTGAGCAAAGGACCAACAGAGGAAGAAATACAGGCAACACATCCTGCAGCTCCTTTGCTGGTTATCTTCAATAAGTTAAAATAAAGTGCCCTGTACATCCTGGGAGGCGAGATGACCCCCTGCTGGGAGAAGCAGAGTTGCTTCATTACAGTGATGTGTGCGCTTAGCCTTAAAAAGTAAGTGAGATCTGGACATGCAGATGAGGGAAGAAGAACAGCTCAGATGAAGAGAAAAGATGAGCAGAGGCACAGTGAGAGGAAGAGGGGTACGTGTAAGGACAAGTTCACAGCATGAACAGGGCATCCACACTTAGAGGCAGACAGCAGAAGGCTTTACGTGCCAAGCAGGAGTTCGGGATCTTTTCATTAGGAACTGAAAGCCATTAAGACCAGTCAAGTCTGTTCTGGCTTCCCTGATGGCTCAGTGGGTAAAGAATCTGCCTGCAATGCAGGAGACATGGGAGATGTGGGTTCAATCCTTGGGCTGGGAAGATCCTCTGGAGAAGGAAATGGCAACCCACTCCATAATCTTGCCTGGAAAATTCCATGGACAGAGGAGCCTGGCGGGCTACAGTCCATGGGTTGCAAAGGGTCGGACATGACTGAGCGACTAACACACAAAGTCTGTTCTGGAATTCCTCTCAATCTCATGTATTGTTTTCTACAAACTGGTTCTCACTGAGAAATTCCAGAAGTAGGAATTTGAGGCACAAGTTAACTCAAGGAAAACAGTGTAAATATTAAGACATTTGCAATCTATAGAAAACAATGAGCCCCCCAGTGTGCCTCCCTTGCCCAAGCAGAGAATCAGAGATTAACTAGAAAGAATGACTGCAATATAATCACAATTTGAGGCACCATATACAAGATCATGGGAAATGAAAATGAAAAAAAGATTGTGAAGAAAACCCAACATGACCTCTATCCCTTTCTGCAGTCAGTTTTCTAAATGTTAATCAGCAGCCTCATTCCAACTTGGGTAATGCTAGAGGACTTCTCTGGTGTCCCCGGATGAAAAGCCCTCCTGACACTAACACCAGTGTCCCATCACTAACAAGGCTGACGCTTTCCACAGGAGACTACAGTAAATTGCCTCGGGCATTCTGCATGCACTCCATTGCTCCAACAAAGAGACACTGAAAAGTCTCCACACTGAAGGAATGCCAACAGCAAAGACAGAACAAGCTCAAAGGAAATAGACACCATCAAAGTACCCAGCCCCTTCCTGGGTCATAGTCCTGTTGTGGCAAACGGGCTTGGATAACTCAGTAAAGCCATGAACCACACCGGGCAGAGCTACCCAAGACAGACAGGTCACAGCGGAGAGTCCTGACAAAACGTGAGCCACTGCAGGAGGGAATGGCAAGCCACTCCAGTATACTTGCCTGAGAACCCCACGAACTGTATGAAAAGGCATCGAAAGATGAACCCCCAGGTCAGGTTTCCAATATGCCACTGGGGAAGGGCAGAGGACAACTATTAGCAGCTCCAGAAAGAATGAAGCAGCTGGGCCAAAGTGGAAAGAACGCTCCGTTGTGGATGTGTCTGGTGGTGAAAGTAAAATCCCACGCTATAAAGAACAGTACTGCATAGGAACCTAAGATGTCGGGTCCATGAGTCAAGGTAAACTGGACGTGGTCAAGCAGGAGATGGCAAGAGTGAACATCGACATTTTAGAAATCAGTGAACTAAAATGGACTGGGATGTGTGAATTTAATTCAGATGACCATTACATCTACCACTGTGGGCAAGAATCCAACAGAAGAAATGGAGTAGCCCTCATAGCAACAGTCTGAAATGCAGTACTTGGGTGCAACCTCAAAAACGAAAGAATGATCTCGGTTGGTTTCCAAGGCAAACCATTCAACATCAAAGTAATCCAAGTATGCCCAACCAGTAATGCTGAAGAAGTTCTAAAGCTGATCAATTCTATGAAGACCTACAAGACCTCCTAAAACTAACACCAAAAAAAAGATGTCCTATTCATTACTGGGGACTGGAATGCAAGAGTAGGAAGTCAAGAGATACCTGGAGTAACAGGCAAGTCTGGCCTTGGAGTACAAAATGAAACAGGGCAAAAGCTAACTGAATTCTGCCATGCAGAATCCTAGTACTATGCACTGGTCATAGTAAACACCCTTTTTCAACAACACAAGAGACAACTTTACACATGGACATTACCACATGGTCAAAACCAAAATCAGACTGATTACATTCTTTGTAGCTGAAGATGGAGACACTACATACAGTCAGCAAAAACAAGACCTGGAGCTGACTGTGGCTCAGATCATCAGCTTCTCATAGAAAAATTCAGGCTTAAAGTAAAGAAAGCAGGGAAAACCACTAGGCCAGCCAGGTACAACTTAAATCAAATCCCCTATGAAGATACAGTTGAGGTGACAAATAGTTTGAAGGGATTAGATCTGGTAAACAGAATGCTTGAAGAACTACGGACAGAGGTCCATAATATTGCACAGGGAGCAGCAAACAAAACCATCCCAAAGAGAAAGAAAAGCAAGAAGGCAAAGTGGTTGTCTGAGAGGCTTCACAAAGAGCTGGAGAGAGAAGAGAAGTAAAGAGCAAGGGAGAAAGGGAAAGGTACAGCCAACTAAATGCAGAGTTCCAGAGAATACCAAGGAGAGACAAGAAGGACTTCTTCCATGAACAATGAAAAGAAACAGAGGAAAACAACAGAAAGGGTAAGACTAGAGACCTCTTCAAGAAAACTGGAAATGTCAAAGAACATTTCATCCAAAGATGGCTGTTAAAAAGGACAGACGCTAACAAGAAGAGATCAAGAAGAGATGGAAAGAATACACAGAACTGTACAAAATAGATCTCAATGAACCGGATTACTATGATGGTGTGGTCAGTCACTCAGAGCCAGACATTCTGGAGTGTGAAGTCAAGTGGGCCTTAGGAAGCACTACTGTCAATAAAGCTAGTGGAGGTGATGGAATTCCAACAGAGCTATTTAAAATCCTAAAAGATGATGTTATCAAAGTGCTTCACTCTATATGTCAGCAAATTTGGAAAACCCAGCAGTGGTCACAGAATTGGAAAAGGTCAAGCCTCATCCCAATTCCCAAGAAGGACAGTACTAAAGAACGTTCAAACTACTGGACAATTGTACTCATCTCCCCTGCTAGTAATGTTATGCTCAAAATCCTCCCAGTTAGGCTACAACAGTACATGAACCAAGAACTTCCAGATATTCAAGCTGGGTTTAGAAAAGGCAGAGGAACCAGAGATCAAATTGTCAACATTTGTTAGACCATAAAGAAAGCAAAGGAATTTCAGAAAAACATCTACCTCTGTTTCATTGACTATGCTGAAGTCTTTGACTGTGTGGATTGTAACAAACTGCGGAGAACTCTTAAAAGAGATAGGAATACCAGACCAGCTTACCTGCCTCCTCAGAAATCTGTATGCAGATCAAGAAGTAACAGTTAGAACCTTGTATGCAACAAACAACTGGTTCAGGATTGAGTAAACAATATGACAAGGCGGTTTACTGTCCCCTTGTTGATTTAACTTTTACACAGAGCACATCATGAAAAATGCTGAGCTGGATGAATTACAAGCTGGAATCAAGACTGCCATGAGAAATATCAACAACCTCAGATATGCAAATTATACCACTCTAATGACAAAAGCAAAGATGAACTGAACAATCTCTTGATGAGAGTGAAGAAGGACAGTGAAAAGGCCGGTTAAAACCAAATATTTAAAAAACTAAAATCATAGTATCTGGCCTCACTACTTCATGGCAAACACAGGGAAAAGGTGGAAGTAGTGACAGATTTCTTATTCTTGGGTTCTAAAATTACTGCAGATGGTGACTGAAGCCATGAAATTAGAAGACGATTGCCTCTTGGCAAGAAAGCTGTGACAAACCTAGACACTGTGTTAAAAAGCAAAGACATTACTTTGGTGACAAAGGTCCATATAGTCAAGGCTGTGGTCTTCCCAGTAGTCATGTACAGCTGTGAAAGCTAGACAATAAAGAAGGGAGAGTGCTGAAGAATTGATGCTTTTGAAGTGTGGTGCTGGAGAAGACTGTTGAGAGTTCCTTAGACAGCAAGGAGATAAAACCAGTCAACCCTAAAGGAAATCAACCCTGAATGCTCATCAGAAGGACTGATGCTGAAGCTCTGATACTTTGGCCACCTGATGCAAAAAGCTGACTCACTGGAGGAGACTCTGATGCTGGGAAAGATAGAAGGCAGAAGGAAAAGAGGGCAAGAGAAGATGAGATGCTTGGATGGCATCACTGATGCAATGGATCTGGACTTGGGCAAACTCCAGGAGATGGTGAAGGACAGGCAAGTCTGGCGTGCTACAGTTCACAGAGTCGCAAAGAGTCAGACACAACATAGCGACTGAACAACAGAGTACCTAGAACTGATACTCTCAGGGAAATATGAGATGATCCTGCATCTGAAACAAGAACAGGAAGCTTTCAAAAATATTCTAAAAAAGACCTCTTGAAAATGTAAAAAAGACAGCAAAGTTGCCAACAGAAAAACTGGATGATCAAGTTAAGGCAATCTCACAGAAATTAAATGAAAATATAAGAGACAAAAGATAAAACTAGGGGATCAGTCCTAGTGGCCCAACATCCAGCATTCGCAGAGGTTTCCACAAGAGAAGACCTCTGCCAAAGGGGATGGAGTCAGGAGAGGAATGAACACAAGAAGGCCTGCTCAGCACCCTACGCCAAGGCAGTGCCCAATCCAAGCCAAGGTACATCCTCTTCAAATTAAACACACCAGAGAGAGAGTGATCAGAAAGGCTTTCAAAACAGGGAAGGGGGAATCAGTTCTCAAACAAGGGAGAAATCTGAACAGGCTCAGGATCCTCAGTGGCAACTCTGGGAGGTAGAGGACAAAGCCTTTACAATTCTGCCTGAGAATGATTCCCAGCCTTGAATTCCACAGCCAACCAAACTATCTGATCAGCGTGAATGGAGGCAAAGTAACGGCCTTTTCACTCATGCCAAGCTCTCTCAGGCTACTAACATGAGGGCATAAACCAAGACAGAACAGCACATGGGATCAGGAGCCAGGAGGTCTGTAAGGGAAGGGGCACGGAACTCCTGGGATCTGAGGCACGGACATCCCAGGGTGAGCACGGGTGGGAGGGGGCAGACAGCAGCGGGTGAGCTGGCTCCAGAAGGAGGAACTGAAACCCGCTGTGGTGATGCCCCTGGAGGAAGTGCACAGGCGGGGCACGGAGTGAATGAGCGGCGAGCAAGAGCCGTGTCAGAGAGACACACTTCTAACTGCAGGGAAAACCCCAAGCATGAAACACAGGGAATGGAGTCTAAGCACATTACACCATCTAGCTGTAAATAGCAGGGAGGGATGCATTCAGCCCACAATTATGGCATAGATGTACTGAGAAGGCTAAGTCGTCTTCCTTGTAGGAAGTCAATAAACAACATCTTAAGACTGGAAATGTAAAACGAAAATGAAACACTAAAGCATTAGAAAGGTCTGTTTTAGAAACATGGAGGGAAAAGGCACGGACTATAAATATTAACTGAAAGGCGCTGCAACAAAGGAGGGCGCAGGATTTCACAGGAGGCAGAGAAGACTCTTTTTTAAATGAGGTTTCTCTGCTATTAGGTTTTTAAACACTAAAAATCATCTATAAAATTTTTTAAGTTTTCAGAAAAGGCAACACCACTCCTATCAGACTCTTCACTCACCCTGGCAGTGATGGTCCCATGCTTTTCTCCTTTGTTGTTGATCATGCGGATGCCAACCGACTGGAACAGCTCCTTCATCTGAGCTGGGGTGGCCGTGGTGGCAAAGTCCACATCCTGCGGCTTCACCCCACTCAGCAGATCCCTCACGGCTCCTCCCGCGATTCGCAACTCATGGTTTTCCTTGACAAATAATTCTGAGACAAAAAGGAATGCTTTTTATTTCAGTGGGTTTCTTTCAAGAATCACAGAAGCACAAGTTCTTCCATCTATTTGGCACAGCAGAGATAACTGAACTCAAGCCTTTTTACATAAAACTGGGAGAACAGGGGTGGGTTGTGGTGGGAGGTGGGAGCCGTGGTATATTCTTGGCTGATTCACATTGTGGTATGGCAGAAACCAATACAACATTGTAAACTGATAATCCTCCAATTAAAAATAAGTAAATTTAAAAAAAAAAATTGGGAGAACAAGGCCCACAGCAGTGAAGGGGCCTGCCTACAGCGGAACTCCTTCAACATCATGAGAAGCAGGGAACTGGCAGAATTTTCCTTAGGTTAAATCAGAATATCTAAATGCCTCAAGGTCATCACTGTAAATCTGAATCACTACCAAAAAGGACAGTGAATACTCTAGAAAGGCGAAGTGTTCCTGCACATCTGTTCTCTGTTGAAGCAACAGCATGCTGATGCAGGAAGCCATCAAATGTTATCTATCACACCACGTGTGGTGAACACTGCAGCTAAGAATCCTTGCAGAAATAACCCACATATAAAACCAGCTCATAGCTCTGCTCCAGAGAAGCCACATACGCCAACTACCATGAGGACTGAGTCCAGGAGACCCAGAGCCGACTCCTCTGCAGGCGGAGGCCAAGGCTGAGTCCACCACAACCACCCACGTGACTGAGGGGCCCACATGGAACCCAGTGAGGATGAACCAGGGCCCGGCCTGACTCCCCACCCGAGCCGAGCTGCCGCCAAGTGCTGGACTCGCACGTGAGGCCTGGGTGCCCTCCTGTCGGCACTACCATGTCAGAGAACATCCAGACCAGACAAGGCCTCTCTGTGAGCAGCGTGCACGTGTGAATAAAGACGGGGCACACACACTGTCCGGACAGCTCACAGTTAATACACGTGACTGTACCTTAGGTTCCAGTTTTATCCTCAAGCTGTGTTCCTACCTTCCAGGTAAGGATTATTAAGACCATCAGACTAAACCCTGCTTCCTGACACCCTAATCCATACAGCAAAGCCCCCAAACCATGTGATACAAGCCCAAATGCTACAAAAAGTTGTTTCTACAATGGTTTTTCTCAGAGGCCTCGAGGTTCTCCTCGGTCAGCAACCCGCACTCTGCCTGGACTTGCTGAGGGGTGTCCATTGGCAGGAGGGTGCCTCAGAGCTCACCCCAATCACAACTCAAGACGCCACCCTGCAGCCCCGTGCCAACCTCCGAGCTCCACCATTGTCCTCCTCCACCCGTTCTTCCCAAACCTCCAGCTCCACACCTCTGCAGACGCCCTAGAACCATGTGCTGAAAAACAACCACGGTTGCTCCCTCTACCTCTCTGCTTGACTAAAACCTCCTGCACATGGAAACCACTCTCGGGAAACCCTCCCAGAGGCAGTGCTCATACTCTAACCCCACATTTCCAGTCAAGTCCTGGTGACTCCTTAATATAGGGTCCACGGTTCCTTAAAATAAAACGTTAAAATTATGTTAGTGCACAGTTTGCATGAGACTCAGACAGGAAGGGTAAACAAGAGTTTTATGAAATAGTACTCACCCTTACTATATATACCATGCAATCTAACCTGTTCTATTCTTTATCTCATTTCCTCTATTTTTTAACACTGGTCATGACCACTAAGTCGATTTTATGACCCACGAACAGGTCACACAAACTCTGGTGCTGGAGAAAACTCCTGAGAGCCCCTTGGACAGCAAGGAGACATTCACTGGAAGGACTGATGCTGAAGCTGAAGCTCCAATACTTTGGCCACGTGATGCAAAGATCCAACTCACTGAAGACCCTGAACCTGGGAAAGACTGAGGGCAGGAGGAGAAGGAGGCGACAGAGGATGAAATGGTTGGATGGCATCACCGACTGATGAACATTAACTAGAGCAAACTCTGGGAGATGGTGAAGGACAGGGAGGCCTGGCGTGCTGCAGTCCATGGGGTTGCAAAGAGTCAGACAGGACTGAGTGACTGTACAACAACAATAACCATTTACTTACACAAAAATTATTACATTTGCAACTTTAGCCTCATGTATAGAATGAAGGAGGGCATTCCCAGGCGACTCAGTGGTAAAGAATTGGCCTGCCAAAGCAGGAGACGTGGGTTTGATCCCTGGGTCGGGAAGATCCCTCAGAGGAGGAAATGGCAACCCACTTTAGCATTTTTGGCTGGAAATCGACAGAGAAGCCTGATGGGCTACACAGTCCATGGGGGCACGAAGAGTCAGCCATGGCCTAGCAACTGAACAGCAGCAGCAGCATTATATGGCTGTCCTTCAGCAAAAGGAAAACAAATTACATGAGACAGACTGACATAAAATTCCACACGCACATCATACACTATCCTAAACCTCCCGAACTCGTGCACACTGGAAACTAGTTTTACATCCGGCAAAACAGCGCTCATGACTGACACCGGGCACAGTGTTAAGCTGCACAGCTGCACCAGACAACGGCCACCTTGTGCCCCCCTTTGCTGCTTCTGTGCGTTGTTTTCACACAGAACACTGTGTTTTAGCAAGCCATTCAAGTCTTTGGAAACTAACAGATCATATAGAAGTGATCATTTGATTTTCTAACTGTTGGGCACTGCACTGAAAGATTACATCCTTGCCACTTCCACTATAACCTAGAAAGTTGGTTGGTCTTTCAAGGACAAGGCCGTGGGCCCAGCACTACCTCTCTCTACCCTACTCTTCAGTTCTCACTTCCTTAGGACTTCACCTCTCAAGGTGAAGAACATTCAGCTCTTCCAAGTCAGGCTTAGTAAGCCAAATGCAACTGTTGAAAACTGGTGAAGGACCTACAGTAATCAATATCTATGATCTTGTTTCCAAAAGAAAAACACAGAAGCGGCTTCCTTGAGAGCTCAGTAGTAAAGATTGCACCTGCCAATGCAGGAGACACGGGTGCAATCCCTGGTCCAGGAAGACCCTGCATGCTATGGAGCAACTAAGCCCGTGTGCCTCAACTACGGAGCCTATGCTCTGGAGCCCGGGAACCATAAACTACTGAGCTCACACACCACAAGTGCTGAAGGCTTCGTGCCACATAGCCCATGCCCTGCCACAAGAGAAGCACCTGCAACGAGAAGCCCCCACTAGCCGCAACTAGAGGGGGGAAGAAAAAAAACGGCACAGCAATGAAGACCCAGCACAGCCAAAATAAATAAATTTTCTACATCCAGTCATTTGGCACCTATCTTCCAAGAAACCTCTTACAACGAAGATGGGAAGAGTGGGAGCTGGGAGAGATATAAAGAAAGAACAAGCTCAAATTCAACTGTAAGTCAGAACCTGCAGACATGAGCTGCACAGACAGTAGCCACATGTGGCTTCTGACACGTGAAATGTGGCGAGTCTGAATTAAGGCGGTCTGTACTAAACCCCAGATTTCAAAGATTTATAAGCAAGAGTGGGAAACGTGTCACTCGTAATCTGTACACAAATATGACTTTAAAATGACGGCATCTTAGCTGTACTGAGTTACACGAGATGTGCTAGAGAGTTATCAAAATTAATTTCACCTGTTTATCTTTTTAATTCTAATTAGAAATCAGAGTGAAGTACCTACTTTAGGCCCCCCACTTCAAGACCAAATGAAACTATGGTCTATGAAACTATAAAACTCAAGTAGTTCTGGACCACTTACTTCTAACATATACCTAAAAATCATCTTATTTCAAGAACAGGAAAGTAGCTTTGCCAATAAGCTAATACAGGGACGTCCCCAGTGGGCAAGTGGTTAAGAATCCACTTTGCAATGCAGCAGACATGGGTACAAACCTTGGGTGAAAAGCTAAGATCCCACACTTCACACAGCAACCAAGCCCGTCCGTGCTCCATACCTACTGAGCCCATGAGCCAAAACTAGGCCGTCTGTGTGCTGCAGGGAAGATCCCGCATGCCACAGAGACTGAGGCAGCCAGATACATACTAAAACAAAAAATTAGCTACTAAAAGGACAGTCATTTTAAAGCAACAGTCCCTTCACCTTCTGGGCATCAGAATTAAGGCAGTAGTTTTTATAAAAATTTATAAATGCCCATACTCCTCAGAAATTCCAGTCAGTAGGGCAGGAGTGGGACCCTAGCATTTGTAGGCTATAAAAGCTCCCCAGGTGAATCTAAAGGACAAACCAACATGTAAGGTCACGTTTCTACATATATACACCTTAATATACTTCCAAAATCACTGTGGATGGTGACTCTAGCCATGAAATTAAGACGCCTGCTCCCTGGAAGAAAAGCTATGACAAATCTAAACAGTGTATTAAAAAGCAGAGACATCACTTTGCTGACAAAGGTCCATCTAGTCAAAGCTACAGCTTTTCCAGTAGTCATGTACAGATGTGAGAGTTGGGCCATAAAGAAGGCAGAGTGCCTAAGAACTGATGCTTTTGAGCTGGAGTGTTGGAAAAGACTCTTGAGAGTCCCTTGGACTAAGTCAATGCTAAAAGAAATTATCCCTGAATATTCACTGGAAGGACTGATGCTGAAACTGAAGCTCCAACAGTTTGGTCACCTGATATGAAGAATCAACTCACTGGAAAAGACCCTGATGCTGGGAAAGACTGTGGGCAGGAGAAGGGGACGACAGAGGATGAGATGGTGGACGGCATCATCAACTCAATGGACATGAGTCTGAGCAGACTCCAGAATATAGTGCAGGACAGGGAAGTCTGGCGTGCTGCAGTTCATAGGGTCCCAGAGAGCTGGACACAACCGAGCCACTGAGCAATAACACTGTGTTTCTAAAGCCAGGACTAACGGGCGGGACCATAAACTCTGCAATCCAACTGTATGCACTTCAACAACAACAGCTGATACCAAGTGGAGAACAGCCACAAGCAACATGAAGCTCCTATGGCCAGGCACTGAGCGAAAGCCATTTCCTGGGTCCCTTCCAGATAAGGTCTGTCTCATCTGGACAAATGGAGATGACTCCCACTTACTCCTGCCTCTGGTTCTCTCAGAAAGCACTGATATAAGCCAGAAATATAGCTTAGTGGTGACAAGCTGGGTTCTCAAATCAGACTGCAAAAGTTCAAATCCAAGCTCTCCAGTTATTAGTTATAAAAATGGTGCCAAGGAATTTCACATTCCTAAGCCTCTGCTTCCTCAACCATACAACAAGAGAAAAAGTATCCAATCTTTAAGTCAGTAGGCCCAATTCTGTGATGCGTATAATAAAGTACGTGGGGGTAACACAAAAAAGCCATGCTTTTTACTGCAATCATTATTTGCCTCTTCTCATGACTTGACTAGAGTTTTGGATTATTCATAGTAAACCCTGCTTTCATTAGCTCAACAATCACACAAAAACTATGAATGTTGGCTTAAAACCGTTACCTCTCTGCCTCTCCATTTATACAAGCTTCCAAAGCAAGAAGAGGCATCCGACTTCTCACCTGTCAGACTCTTCAATCCTTCTGTGAAAAGTGACTGGAATTCTGGAGACTGCAACTTCATTGTAAACAGAGAGTGCTTCAGAAGGCACAGTCTACTCCAGCTGCAGCTCAGTAAGTGCCTGCGCCAGGGATCCAGGCACCTCAGCATCTGGGGAGAAAGTCACCACCTCGCATCTACAAGATAAGCATGCACACACCACGATGAAACTTACAAGCGCAGGACAATGAGGGGATGTGTGGTGATTTTATCTATCCACAGAGACAGAGTCGTCTCCCGATCACGTGAAAAACGGAAAAAACTGAACGTGAGGGAGAATTACAACTGGATCCTACCCCTGAAGTTACCTGGTTTTGTCCTCCTGAAGCACTTGCTACTATGTCAATACCGCATTCTACTGTTGGGATGCTCTCCTGGGAGACCAGTCTCAGTTAAAGCCTGAAGGTACAAGGCTGCCATTAACAGTGGTTTCACAAAACCTAAGTCAAACACTTGCAGGGACACTTGCTCTCCTCCAGAACATGTCACAGTCGTGTGTACATCAGCATACTTGCTCATACACACTTGGGACTCATGACCCCGGGATATGTCCTATGCACTGTAAAATAAGATATTTTCCTATCATCTGTCCTTGCTGCCCGCTTCTTCCTCATTCACCATCCGCCTATCTCATCAAGTCTTCTGAATCCCACCCATTCACACTGCCATCTGTCATCCATTATCATAACGCTCCGTCTTCCATGCAGGGTGGGCCTCTGGGAGGCAGCAACAGAACGCAAACAGAAATCGACAGAAACCCCCAGAGAAGAACCATTCCTTTACTTGGAAAGCAGGTTTCAAAGGGCGGCGTTTCCCACCGGGGGGGGGAGTTTTCCTTATCCAAAGAACTGGTGAGGAAAAACACTGCAATTCCTTCCATGCTTCAACACAGAAAACCCAGTGGGAACCCAGGACCTGAAACGGCGTGTCCTGTCCCCCACAACAGGTGCTGGACCTAAAAGGGAGACCAGAGGTCCGGCCGCAAGGAAGGGAAAGTGCCCAGGGGAAGCCCGATGAATCAGCCCGCGGTCAGTGAGATGTAGCAGAAACGCGATCCCACGACCTCAACAGTGGGCTCTATTCCCGAGGGCGGAAGAGGCCTCTCACCACCCCGGCACCCGCCTTCCCCAAGACCAAGCAAGTGGGACAGCCCCAGGGTCCAGCCATTGCTGTTGCTCGCCCCCAAGCAGCGCACACCCGCACGTCCCCCGCACGCCTCCTCACCGTCTCCACGGCTCCGTCGCCGTCGCGTACACTCCCGGCGGCAGGCGCCGTGACGTCACCAAGGCGCGCCGGTCAACGGCAAATGGGAGGCGCAGAAAGGAGTGGGCGGTACCTTACCAGGCTCTCCCTGTCTCTCCCACTTTCCTGCGGGCAGCCACTTGCTTCAGCAAGGTTCCTCAGTTCTTCTCAGTCCTGCACAGCCAGGTTTTGCTCCTGGGGGGATCCGAGGGACCAGGGACTGTACATTTATTTTAACTATACCTCACCGCACCTTTCTCTGGCCCTCGGGTTGTTAGATACCCATCTGTACTGCATACCTTGTCTGACTGGACAAGCGACACCAACTTCCTTTGTAAAATGAGACTATCAATAGAACCTATCTCAGGGAATTGCCAGGCTTAAATGTCATATTATCCCCTAGTAAAGAGAAAGTGCTCAGTAACTGTTTGTTATTCTTGCCTGCTCCCTGGTTGGCACTTGACTCACGTTACTATTCTACACCCTAATTGGTGTGGCAACCAATTTGACATTGTAGATGAAACAGGCAAATCCTTTGAAAAATACAACTTACCAAAATTGACCTAGGATGACACTTAGACATCTGAATAGCCCTTTGCTATTAAAGAAATGGAGTTTAGTTCAACAAACTTCTTACAAAGGTAATTCCAGACACACATGGTTTCAGTGGTCAAATTTATCAACCACTTAAGGAAGAAATGACACCAAATTTGCACAGTTTTTGCTCAGCAACTAGAAAACGGAATAGTCTTCCTTTCATTTGAGGCCAGCATACACTGATAACAAACTTCAAATAGATACTACCCAAAATGAATTTATAGATTAATATTAATATGAACACAAAAACAAATATCTCTACTGTTAGCATTAGCAAATTGAATCCATCAAGTTGGATACTGTTGGGTTTATTCAGGAATGCAAGGTGGATTCAACATTTAAAAAACCGTGTTACTTATCATATTACAGGCTGATAAAAACTGTATGATCCCTATAGTTGCAGAATAAGTGAAACAGAGCTGCACCCTCTGGGGCTCCTGGGCACAGAAACCTTTCCAACAGTTGTCAGTCAGGTAAGGGAGGGGATACAGAGCCAAGTGAGGAGCAGACAAGACACAGTAATGCAGCCTTCCGACAGGGTCTTGGTTCCAACTCAAGGGATACAAGTAATAGTATCTTTGAGCTCTTTTACAGAAATAAAACCCCCAACAAATTAAAGGTGTTAACATTCTTCATTGTAGACTAAAGGACCAGAGAAGCTCTTCAGGAGAACATGTGAATCCTAAACAGCCAGTACAATCTTGAGAAAGAAAAACAGAGCAGGAGGAATCAGGCTCCCAACTTCAAAATACACTACAAAGCCACAGTAATCAAGAAAGTATGGTACTACCGTAAAGCCAGAAATATACCAGAAATATAGACCACTGGCACAGGATAGAAAGCCCACAGATAAACCCACCCATCTATGGGCCATTTATGTATGACAAAGGAGGCAAGGGTATGCAATAGAGACAAAAAAGACTTCAGTAAGAGGTGGTGAAAAAGCTGGACAGTGACATATAAAAGAATGAAATAAGAACAATATCTAACACTATGCTGTTGTTCAGTCGCTTAGCTGTATCCAACTCTTCATGATCCCATAAACTGCAGCATACCAGGTTTCCCTGTCCTTCACTATCACCCAGAGTTTGCTCAAACTCATGTCCATTGAGTTAGTGATGCAATCCAACCATCTCATTCTGTTGTTCCCTTCTTCTCCTGCCTTCAATCTTTTCCAGTATCAGGGCCTTTTCCAATGAGTCAGCTCTTCACAACAGGTGGCCAAAATATTGAAGCTTCAGCTTCAGTACGTCCTTCCAATGAATATTCAGGGTTGATTTCCTTTAGGATTGACTGGTTTGATATCCCTGATATTCAAGGGATTCTCAAGAGTCTTCCCCAGCACACAATTCAAAAGCATCAATTCTTTGACCCTCAGCCTTCTTTATAGTCCAACTCTCACATCTGTACATGACTACTGGAAAAACCACAGCTTTGACTACAGGGACCTTTGTTGGCAAAGTGATGTCTCTGCTTTATAATACGTTAAGTTTGTCATAGCTTTCCTTCCAAGGAGTAAGTGTCTTTATATTTCAAGGCTGCACTCACTGTCTGCAGTGATTTTGGAGCCCAGGAAAATAAAAGGTTTCTGTTTCCACTTTCCCCCCATGTATTTCCCATGAAGTGATGGGACTGGATGCTGTAATCTTCGTTTTTTGAAGGCTGCGTTTTAAGCAGCTTTTTCACTCCCCTCATTCACTCTCATCAAGAGACTCTTTAGTTCCTCTTTGCTTTCTGCCAATAGTTTGTTATCATTTGCATATCTGAGCTTGATATTTCTCCCAGCAATCTTGATATCCAGTCTTTCTCATTCTCTTATTTTCCTCTAATTCTTTGGATTGATCACTTAGAAAGGCTTTCTCTCTCCTTGCTATTCTTTAGAACTCTACATTCAGATGAATGGATCCTTCCTTTTCTCCTTTACCTTTTGCTTCTCTTCTTTTCTCAGCTATCTGTAAGGCCTCCTCAACCATTTTGCCTTTTTGCATTTCTTTTTTCTTGGGAATGGTTTTGATCACTGCATCCTATACAATGTCAGCAACCTCTGTCCATGGTTCTTCAGGCACTCTATCAGATCTAATCCCCTGAATCTTTTTGTCACTTTTACTGTATAATCATAAGGGATTTGATTTAGGTCATACCTGAATGATCTAGTGGTTTTCCCTACCTTCTTGAATTTAAGTCTGAATTTTGCAATAAGGAGTTCATGATCTGAGCCACAGTCAGCTCCCAGTCTTATTTTGCTGACTGTATAGAGCTTCTCTATCATTGGCTGTAAAGAATATAATCAATCTGATTTTTGTGTTGACCATCTGGTGATGTCCATGTGTAGAGTCATCTGTTGTGTTGTTTGAAGAGGGTGTTTCCTATGACCAGTACACTCTTTTGGCAAAATTCTGTTAGCCTTTTCCCTGCTTCATCTTGTGCTCCAAGCCCAAACTTGCCAGTTACTCCAGGTATCTCTTGACTTCCTACTTTTGCATTCCAGTCCCTTATGATGAAAAGGCCATCTTTTCTGGTGTTAGTTCTAGAAGGTCTTGTAGGTCTTCATAGAACCGTTCAACTTCAGCTTCTTCAGCATTAGTGGCTGGGTCATAGACTTGGATTACTGTGATACTGGATGGTTTGCCTTGGAAACGAAAGGAGATCAGTTTGTCGTTTTTGAGATTGTACCCACGTACTGCATTTTGAACTCTTCTGTTAACTATGAGGGCTACTCCATTTCTTCTAAGGGATTCTTGCTCACAGTAGTAGATATAGTGGTCATCCGAATTAAATTCGCCCATTCCAGTCCATTATAGTTCACTGATTCCTAAAACGTCGATGTTCACTCTTGCCATCTCCTGTTTGACAATGTCCAATTTACCTTGATTCATGGACCTAACATTTCAGGTTCCTATGCAATATTGTTCTTTACAGCATTGGACTTTACTTCTGATGAATAATCATAAGAGATTGATGTAGATCATACCTGAATGCTCTAGTGGTTTTCCCTACTTTTTTCAATTTAAGCCTGAATCTTTTAGTAAGGAGATCATGATCTGAGCCACAGTCAGCTCCAGGTCTTGTTTTTGCTGACTATATAGAACTTCTCCAACTTTGGCTGCAAAGAATATAATAAATCTGATTTTGGTATTGACTATCTGGTGATGTCCATGTGCAGAGTTGCCTCTTGTGTTGTTAGAAGAGGGTGTTTGCTATGACCAGTGTGTTCTGGTGGCAAAACCCACAAAAATAAATTCAAAATGGATTAAAGACATAAATGTAAAACA